TTGTCAAAGGCCTTGCTGAAATTCAGGTATACCACATCCACTGCATCCCCTCCATCTAGCCATCTCAAAACTTTGTCACAGAATTCCACAAGGTTTGTCTGGCAGGACCTGTTTTTGCAGAAGCCGTGTTGTGCGGCTGTCAGCCTCCCTTCCCTATCTAGCATCACTAGATCTCTCTCTATTATGAGCCTTTCCATTGTTTTTCCTACAAAGGACTTAAGGCTAGCCGGTCTATAATTCCCCATGTTCTTTTTACTACCCTTTCTGAAAATTGGGACCACTGATGCCACCCTCCAGTCCTCTGGAACTTCACCCGTTCTCCATGAGATCTCAAAAATGGAGGCCAGCGGGCGTGAGAGAACCCCTGCCAACTCGCTAAGTACTCTTGGGTGTAACCTGTCAGGGCCTGGTGCCTTTGTAATGTCCAATGCCCTGAGGAGCCCCTCGACTTCAAGGGGGGGTGACTCTAATCTGTGCCCCTAAGTCCCCAACCTCATCTAATCTCCTATGCGGATCTCCCCCATCCTGCTTTGGGGGGAACACAGAGGCAAAATAGTCATTTAGCATCTGTGCCTGTTCCCTCATATCAGTCACTGGATCTCCTTCCTTATTTAGTGGTCCCACCACTTGTCTCCCCTTCCTCTTCCTATTTACATGCTGAAAGAAGCCCTTTTTGTTGCTCTTGATATGCTTGGCACAAGGCCCTGTGGTTTTTACTGCAACAGACTACGCCTCACACGCACACACACACATGTGCACACAATCAACTGCTCACTCCCACACTGAAGTCAAGACACAAAGAAAACAGTACTGAGCAGCTGAGGTACTTGGGGAAGAGATGGTTAGAGAATGGTTTGTGTCTCAGAACACAGCGGTCAGTGGGCAGGGCTAATATTGCTGGCTAATCAGCTAACTCCTTTGAAAAATAGAATTAGTTGTTAAAAATGAGTTGTCCACCAGGCTCCTAAAGGCAAAACCAACAATCACATTCTGTTTTTTCTGATAATTTAGGCCACACAGAGAGAGAACATAATTGGCATGGTGAACCTTAGGGAAGCAGACAGGGAGATCTGAGCAGTGACCAATCAAAGTTGGAAAAAATCATATGAATCATAACTGTTTCAAAGTTAACAATTGTTAACACATAACAATTTTGTGTGCATACATGCTTATGAGACTGGTCATGGGAATTTCAGAGCTCCCTATCCTTTAAAATAGTGCTCCGTACATAAAAGAACATTTCAACACAACAGGGTTTTTTTTGAAACAAAGAAACTGTTCCATTTTTCCTAGTATTTCTGGTACCATCATCTCTTGAATGCTTTTGTCACATTTTAGTTAGTGATGGTATCAAAGAACCTGCACAAATAAATGTTCCTGCTTTGACATCCAGTCTTCAGACAGCTCTCAGTAACTGTAAGAGGAATGTGTAAAAAGCGGAAACTAAAGCCCTAACCAGGTATAAGGACGCCTATTAGAGAAGTTTCTTGCAGGTCCTCCATACTGCTGTACCTGGCTCTGGAAGCATATGGATAAACCCAGACAACAACAGGACTATAGAACTGCAGAGTTATATGTTTTGTGAGATTGATGGCCAGCTTAAATATTAGACATTCTGCCTAGTTGCAGCTAGAATTGCTTCGCTATGGCAAAGGCCCACTTTGCTAGCCTTGTTTTTAAAACTCTCTTACACTGCTGCAGCATGCCCTTGCAAGCATCTGCAGTCACCAGTGGCATTGTCTGGGCATGCACATATTTGGCCAACACATGCGATAAGGGATTTTTTCAATTTTATGTTTCCTACTTTAAGAATCAAAATGGGGGATGTCTTTTAGGGCATGAGGCTGTTTGAGCATGGGAGAGACATTATCATATACAGAAGTTTATTAGAGGCTCTGTTGAATAAACCACAACTAGAATGGTCTTTTCCTGTCAAAGCACTAACATTTTTAAATAACCAGTGTTTGACTGGATTCATTATGAGTCTTTCTCCACTTGCATTCCAGTTGATGTTCCACTTGCTTCATTGCCCTCAATTTCAAGGTGTATCAAGGAGCTAATTTGGTTCTGCCAAGTGAGAGAGGACACTTAGGTGCAATCATGTCAACTGCCCAAGTCAATTCCATATTCAGAATTATAAGTGAAAGGGTTTCAACAGGGCTCCATTCATACCAACAGGAAAATCCCACAGAGGTGTTTAGGGTTTTAGATTTTATTAGTCTCTAGGTGCAGACCAGTCTAATGGGTTCTCCACTCTTGTGAAAGGGAAACCTACTGAAAGTCTAACCTCAACAGGTAAGTGACATGTCCATGACAAGGTAGTTGCTAAATCAACACCACTGGGGCTTACCTTCTTTCTGCCCAACTGAGAAAAACAAATCCAGACCAGAGCATGTGCTGGCCAATGTCATGTTGGGACAGCTGTTTGCTTGTCATGCGAGCATGAATTCCTCAGCTTCACCATATTGGTTAATTCTGGAATAGATGTTGAAGTCCTGCAAAACAAGCATTTTGGGAATCCTCGATACCAAATTCAAAATTATCTCTAGCAGCCTAGACAGGGAGACTGGTGGGTAGCAGGGTATTAGGTACACCAGCAAAATCCCTAAACTGTCCTAGGTTCACAAGACCAGATGCAAACACTCAAAATTAGCAGTAAAGCAGAGCAGGAGGCCTGGGAATAAAGATGGAATCCCTACAGGCCATGGCAGTCCTCCTTCCTTAACCTTCAGGTCTGTGCTGATCTAGTATCAGATGCCAAGGTGGACTCAGGTGGGTGAAACTAACTTCCTCCTCTTCACCCACTCAGCTCTCAGTTATACAAGTTAGGTTCGTTCCTTCATCCAGAATTAAATCATGGATGAGGGAGATTAAGATTGTGAACTGGCCTAACATGTAGCAGTAGTACCACAAGACCCAAAGGCAGGCTGGTAAAACAAGAGATTACCTGGCTGGGCAGGAAATCAGAATAGGGAACAAGCATAAGATGCCTGATATTTTCCTCACTGGATATATTAACTAACACTCCACCCCTTTCCTCCTGCTGCCTATAACCATCCTGATAGAGGAATACTTACCACTCTCTTGATTATCCACCAGCATCTTCCAGCACATACTGAAACCCACTACAATCACCCCAGCCAAACTGTCCCTACTAAAATTTCAAAACACCCCATACTAAAGGCCTTCTGCCCAGATGTCGCTGTGGTGGAGATGGGCTCCATGACTGGCTACATACACACGCCATAGGTGGAATAATGTCGGCTTCAGTGTAGAATTAGTAACACAGCCCAGATGGTACTCACATGCTTCAAATACCTTTAGTTGACACAGGTGTTGTGTTATCAAAGTCCTCTGCTATTGAAGGGGAGGTTGCATCACTCTGCCTGGCCTCTCTGCCTGGTCTGTCTAAACATACATAGAACTGTAGCCTTAAACACTTAATGAGAAGTAGCTCTAAATGCTTGAAGAATCCGTTCTGCAGTCTCCTCTTGCTCTGTGATGCTTCTGCAAACTATTCAGAGAACTAGAGATGCTGGGACTATGGCAATAGGTACCATGTTGTTTGGCTGATACTACTAACAACAAGGAACCATACACAGAGCTGCTAGGCAATGGTTTGTGTTTTCATACCATGGAAATCTTATGAAATTACCCTAAGGCTAGAATTCTAAACATATTTACTAGGGAGTAAACTTCATTGAAAGCAATGGGACTTTTCCCCAAGTAGCCATGTATAGGATTGTGCAGTTAGACACCATTATGGGACAATTTGTATAATCAGCAGAATCAAAGCTGCAGGTGTCAAGCCTGCACCTTTGAATGTTCCTCCACAAAGAAGTAAAAATTGAATGCCTGTACATGTAAAACTAGCACAATAGTGTGGACATCTCTGAAATGTGCTCCCCAGAGAGGTCTGCCTGGCGCCGTCATCATATGTTTTTTGGCACCAGGTTAAGACCTTTTTATTCAATCAATATTTTAGTATGTTTTAATATCAAATTTTATTATTATATTTTATTAATTTGCAGCCAGAGTGGATTGTCAATTTATGCTGTTAGCCATCCAGAGACGTTAGTAATTGGACAGCATACAAATTTTATAAATGGATGGATGGATGGATGTTCTGAGCACAGTCCACTGTCACAGGTCCTGCTTGCATGCTGACCCTGACCCTTCCCTCCAGTGCCCTCACAAATTCTGGCCTAGAAGGTCCCTCAACCTTTCAGAGCAGATTTTGAGGACACATGGGGAACTTCCTATTTTCAGTGAGATGCACTAAATGAATTTAACCCTCAGTGAGTGGCATGGTTTGTTCTTTGTTTGTTCGCTCGTTGTCAGGGGAATTCAGATATGCAGTGCTGGATCTTCATCTTACAGTACAAGAAAAGCTTAGCCACTGGATTTTGTCAGTCTGGAGACATAAAAAGGGTCCCCATAACTGACTTCTGCCCAAGTGCCAACTGTGGGAGGCACAACCAGGTCAGGCAATGAGAATGAACAGCCAAGGGACCCATGAAGGTGTATCTCATTGGGTTCAAGTACCCTGCTGGTGGCCGGGGTGGGGAAGGGGAGCCCCTGGGGTCCAGACTAAGCCACCAGCTGGCTCACTATAGGGTACAGATTTGCAATTACTGCTTAGAAATCAGCAGAGATAGGCACAAATGTCATAGTTAAATGTATCCCTACCCTATCACATCATGGGAGGCAAGATGGCAGCTATCCAGAGTAACATTAAAAAATATAATTACAAACAAGCCACAAAGCTTAAAGTTGAACTAAATTATTCGATACCACATAGCAAATAACTTCCTATGCCAAAAACAGAACCCAAAAGTCCCTGTTTAGACAAATCTGACGTCAACAGGGTTATATCCATGTTTAAAATTAATCACCACTACCATGCTTAATCAAGTCCTCAATTTGCTGTCCAAGCCACCAGACCAGGGTAGTTAAACCTATATAAATAACAAAAAAATGAAAAATAAAAACAGAGCCAATTAGAGTCATTAAAATGTGAATTTATTGCAGAATAAAATTTAACAAAATCATTTTTCATGTCGACATGTGCTAGTAGCTGTAAAATGTTATTATTTCAGTTCAACCAGTTAAAAGAGAGAAATCATATGCAGACTGTTCATTAGAGGAGCAAATATTTTCCCGAACTGAGGCTGAGTTGCTATGACTGGTGTTGGTCATATTAATTATTTCCATATATTCCAACAGCTTCCAAGTATTGAAAATTTTATGTTTCATCCAAAACCTCAGACACATCTACTACTCATGTTCTAAAAGTTACCACCACCCAGCCAGAGCACTGCAATAAATCCATGTAATTTGGGCTGCAATCCTATACCCACTTACTGTGGAGTAAGCCCCACTGATTTAAATGGGAATGATTTCTGATTAAGGGTATATGATCGTACTGTTAGATGGCCAGATTGGGCAGGTGTTCAGCCTGTAAACACAAGAGTTAAATGCATGGTGGAACTGAGGGTGCACATGGAAGCCCCACCCCTGCACAACATCCCAAAGCATCCAAACCCTTGTAAGTCTTGACTTGTTGATCACAAAGGTCTACAGAGTGGCTGTAAAAGTGTTCAGCTCAATGCCCTAGTAAGACTTGGGCTGCACTGCAGGGCCAAATCCACCCCTCATTCCCCAAATGTCAATCCAGAGAGCAGTGGGTGATGGGAAAGTGGCAAACACACCCTGTATCAGCATGTGGGCCAGCCACCGGGACTGATACTACTTCACAGCAGTGCTGTCCTTACTTCGAAACATTTTAGAGCTAGTGGGCAGCCTACAGGGCACATGCAGTCACAGATTTTATTATTTTTACTTTAAATATATATTATCTTCTCATTCAACAGCTTCTGTTCCCAAATAAATGTGTTTAACATCTGTTTAGGAAAAGTAAACTCCAATAGTCACAATAGTGCTATGATCTAAGTGAATTTAAAATGCAAAACTACACATGTTCAGAGTATTATTCTTTTTTTCTAAGGACTGCAAGGCAAGTTTTTGATTTTTTGCTGCAAAACCAGTTGTGAAGCATGGGGTGGTGAGGAACTAAGGAAAAAACATGACCATCTAAAGGGAGCCCAGCATAAAACCATCAAGTCCAGGGCTTAAAATTACTAGATTGCATCACTGGCTGAACACATGACACTTAGAAAATTCCCAAGTAGCACATTCATCCAAGGACACTTAGAACCCCCGAAGACCATCCCACTAAGCACACAGAGGTCTTTAAAGTTGCTCAAGCATTGGGGGTGGGGGGGTATATCACTTACATGCATTCCTGCCCTCCCTTAATTCCCACATGTGCAGGCTGAGCACCTGGAAAGGACAATCCAGATTTTTTGAGTAGTTGACCAACATGTTGCCTAATTCAAATCTATATATACAAAATGAAATTTAGGCAATCTAGTCCATTGTGTCTGCCTGTAATGCTCTGAACTTGGACGACAAAAGGCATCTTATGGAGGAGGGCAGATGTACTTCAGAGGCAAAGGTCGCTTCTGTGCTTGTCCTGCCCTGCCAAATACTTATGGCCGGTTTCTCCTAGCCCCGCAGCGTAAGGAGGGGAGGCTACAGCACTGCCGGGATACTATGTATGCTGGCAGTGCTTCTGCTTTCCTCTTCCTGCTCCCTGGAACACCCCAGAATGCAGTCTCTAAGGTTGCTTTTGCAACTTTGGAGCTGCACTAAGGGTGCTCTGACTTGCTTCAGAGCAAATTTCTGAGGTTGGAGCTGGGACTCCAAAGCCTCCTATGAACACACAGATATCATCTAATAGCCATAGGATTGCTCCTACTAGGATGAGATTAGAATCGGTAATTAGACATAATTTCAGGAACTTACTAATCATACTATAGATTCAGATAAGCTTTAGAATGCAGTTTCTAATATTATTTTCACAGGAAAATGTTGGATGAACCTTAACAGGAAGAGTAATTTTGAAGAAAACCCTCCATGTACATATTCAGTGAAATTCTGAATGTTCTGCATATATTTTGTATTTTCTCTTTAAAGATTTTTTTTATTTTCAAGTTGGATATATTATGTTTTAAAATCAGTTTTTTATTCTGAAAAACACCAAGATAAACCTTCCAGATCTCTTCGGATCTTCATAATGAGTTGCTGGATGCTTATACCAAACACTACGTATCTGCAACATCCACAGCAAAAAGATGGAAAAGAGTCAAGCTACATCACCAGGGTTTGGGTTCACTTCCTTAGATTCGAGTTTAGAAACCTGTAAATCAGAGATTTTATCAGTCACTTACCCTTTGATCAAAATTAAGAGTCCAGACAATGCCAGGACAGAGAGCCAAACTACACATTACCCACAAATGTTTGTAACAACCCGTTTTATTTCAAGCAAAGGTAGCTTTGGGAGAAGGTGATTGGCAACAAAGATGCAGTAAGCAAGCACACACACTCAGTCTCTTCTCTGTTCCACGTTGCACCCTCTAAAGGGACTTTGCCTTGGGAGTGGGGTGGGGGCAGGAAACCACTAGGGGTTTTATAACCCATATTTCCATGTCATGTTTCATTTAATACATTTCTACAGTACACAACAGCTGACGCTCTCTGGGCAGTTTGCAAAAATTAAAAACCAAGCAACAAACAAACACTATTTATAGAAGCTATTTACATATACATATATACAGAGATATAACACATGCATACGGGTAACTAAGCAATTTTAAACAATCAAGAATAAGAAAATTATTAAAAACCCATCATATGCTGCCCAATGTACTTAGGCTTTTATAGGTGGTGTGTTAACATGTCGGGCTACAGCTGAGGCCTCCTAGCACATAATGAAAAGTTAATTCCCAATGCTAGAAATATATGGATAATAAACCACCACATTATGTAAGTCAAAATAATCACCAGGATAATTAAATGTTAACACTAAACCATGGTTTGCCACTATGTTCACAAATCCTGTACTTGTGTACTGCTTTCTCCCTCACCCTTCTCTCTCTACCCCACCCCCACTTGAATCCTCTAATTTAGTGGCAAAATCATAGAATTGTAGAGCTGGAAGGGCCATGAAGGCCATCGGGTCCAACCCACTGCTGCTGCAGGGCACCACGTTACACCCTCCCGCTCAGATGGCATTACATCAAAACCAGGCAAACTGTACTTTGTCCAAATCTTCCTTTTAAGCCACAGTTTTCCTGCATGCACAAGCAAATGCTTTCATGTATTTATGAACAAAGGTAGAAGAATGAGCAGCCCATGTGCCAAGAATAGTGCAGAAGCCCAATGAGACAAGGAGGGATAACTGTCCTTCAGCACTGCAGACAGAAAACTCTTGGTCTGTCAACAGCTGAATCCCTATGCCTACAGCTGTCATGAGCTGGTCCCATCCCTCTTTTCCTTCCCTGTTCCAAACTAAAGTTGAACCCTTTGAAGTGCAATTCTTTTCTTGAAGCTTAACAGATGGCAGAACAGTATAAATTCTAAATCGCCTGCTACTGAAGTTGAAGAAGCATCTTCCCATGTAAAGTGTTGAACCCAAACTGAATCTTCCCCTCTGTCTCTTCCTTTCAGTAAAGTTTCTAGCGCCACCCTGAGGGTGGCGGTTGCTCCTTTTATTTTTATTTTATTTTTTGATTTATATCCTGCCTTTTTCCTACAAAGGGCTCAAGGCAGCTTACATCTCCTCCTCCATCTTATCCCCAAAACAACAGCCCTGTGAGGTAGGTTGGGCTGAGAGTCTGTGACTGGCCCAAAGTCACCCAGTTGGCTCCATGGCTGAGCAGGGACTAGAACCCAGGTTATCTGAGTCCCAGTCCCATGCTCTTAACCACTACACCAGAGTGGCTCCTTGGGGGCTAGATGGCAAGAACACTTGGGACCTTGTACTTGGGCACCAGTCTCCCATTGGTGACTGACTGGGCCAAGGCATCTTGTCGCATCTGCTCCCCCATCACTACATCCAGTCACAACAAATCCCATAGTTTAATGATGCACTATGTGATGGACTTTCTTTTATCTGTCAGAATCTCCCACCAAACAGCTTCATGTCTCCCTATCTACTGTCTGCACGACACACACATTTCTGTACACCTCTATCACATCTGCCTTACTCACTTTCTTCTAAGCGAAACAACCTTGCAGCCTTCCTCTAGCCCTTTGATCATTTCAGATGCCCATTTCTGAATGCCTTCCTACTGTACAGTGTCCCTTTTTGGGTGCAATGGCCAGAACAGTACACTGCATCATAACATGGCTCTGTGAGGCAGAGCACAGAGCTGCTCATCCAGCGACCGTGGGTGCAGCCTAGCATCAATCTGGCACATCTGGTGAGTTAGCACACCTGCTGTTTCCCTCCCCCTCCCCCACAAGGGTGCGCAGGTGGGGCTGGCTGCCAGGGTGGTGACCGCTCACTCCCACAACATTCATACAACATTGCATTAAAACCCACAGCAACAGTTAGGATACCACTCTGTGTCTGCACTGGTTGTGGTTAGCGTGACTTTAAAATTAAGCCAGCAGAGAAGACAGGCAGGGAATTGGTGTGGGAATTAATAACGAAGCATTAGGAACTGCACAGCTCCACAAAGCAAATGATGCCACCTTCCCTTCAGCTGCACAAACCATGGGCTTTGTATATGTATGTATGTGGCATGGGCCTATGCACGGCGCACGTGAGCTAGAGGCACCCAGCTGGCTGCAAGGAACCATTCTGAATTGACAGGAACTAGGACTGCCCTCTCCCCTGAAGCTAAGAAGTGGGGCATGGAAACGTGGTGCAGGCCAGCTTCCCCACAAGGCTGCAAGTTCTGACCATACTGCATATGGGCATCTGGCAAAGTCTAATGACTGAACCAATATGCTGGGTAATTAGATATGAACGCTCTGATTAATCTTGCCCATAAATTCTTACAGGCACAGAACAATTTTAAAAATATGACCCTGCAATAATAGCCAAACGAGCTCTCATTGAAGCCAGTTAGCATTTTTTTCTTTTTTGCTTTTGACTTCATTGAGGCTGGGTCAGGTCTACTTGTGGAAAAAATGATGGAAAAACAATACAAGACTTAAACAAAAAAAAGGTAAAGAACACATGGCATCTTTTATCTTGAGTTTCCAGGAAGTCAGATACTATTACAGCATGTCTGGCATTTCAGGGAGGTGGGAATTAGCGTTTTATTGCATGCATAAACATATTATTAAAGGCAACCAAGGTGTAAAATCTTTGGCAGGGAAAATGTGGAGGTATTAACATTCCTCTGTCCAGCAAAAGAAAATATATTAAAATAATGTTACGGCTGTGACTGAGGACCACTAGCAAGTCATAATTATTATGGCTGCTTGATCTTTTCCATACCTTTAGTCCCCAGTCATAGTACAGAATCATATCCAGCTCTGAAACTCTATGAACCTCAAGGCTAAAGTGTGATGCAAAGCAGGACTTCAACTGTGCTCCAATTAACCTTCCTTTGGGCAAGAAAAAATCAGTTTAAACTTCCCAAAGGGAAAAGAATAAAACATTTTTAAAAATGGTGCCTTGGCTAGTTTAGCTTGTATTTGTCCAAGTGTAAGAAAAGGCTTTGCAAGAGAAAAAAGGCTGCATGGCCCTGAATGCCCAACAGCATTCATGAAGGTCTATTCAGGAGAGAACACAAGCTTTGGAAGACAAGGTTTTGTCCACTGTCACTGGGCACGCGTACAAGTGGAGGTCACACAGTGCCATCCATGTTGTCCTGACTGTAAGGGGACTGATGAATGCTCAGAAGCATTCTTGCCTTTCTAGGCCACACACACACACACACACACACACACACACACACAAAACTGCGCTAGGAAACAGATGACTGGTCCCTTAGAAAGAGGATTTGGACATCCATAGATAATGGATCAGAAACCTGTCTGGAAGCTAGATAGTTTTGAGCACAAAATAGGCTCAAGTATTGTTCTCATAGGAAGCTCAGATTCAAATTACAGGTTGACGATGAAGTTTGAGGACTGGCTTGGGTGACTTTCCATCAGTACGATGCACCTCAAGTCAAAGGGCCTATAAAAATGCAGCAGACATTAAAATGAGCTGAAGACCTACTAGGGCCTCCTTAACATTTAGCAACTGTAGAAATAGACATATGGATACAAAAGTGCTTTATACTTATTATTGTATGTCCATTGGAGTTTTATATTACTAACCACACTTCTCTGAATGTATTCAAATATCACAACATTTATGGCACTAAAACAGTAAAAATAGGTTCATACTTACCTGTTCATCTATACACCTGAACTGCCAGGACCAGGCAGTATTATAAAGAAAAGGCCTCAGATCAAATCGGTTGTCATCAGGACTGTAGTTTTCAGCATGATAGGATGGGGTTAGGGTAGTCATTTTATGTCGATTGACAGAATACATTCGAAAGAAATGTTTAACCTTTGACGCCACCTGGTGTACAAAGCACAATATTTCAGGGTCCAAAAAACCTAGACTTATTCAAACCTTAATCAGAATTCTAGATGCAAAAAGAGGGCACTGTAGTTCTACATACCTGGGTAGATATAATTGTTCGCGCATATCTATTATACTTAGATTTGAGAATACATTCAAAGTTTCAGATTGTATAACACACAAACTGCCTGCCACTTACAGGCAATTCAGACTTTCAAGGGCTGCAATCCTGCAACAGCTGCTGAATTGTTACAGACTGGAGCTGTGCCCAACCTTACTCGACTACAGACAGTGTTATCAAACCAGTTGTCATCAAGTCTACAGTTTACAGCACTGTAGGATGGACAAGGGACAGGATGGACAACCAGTGTGCAACGCACCTGCTTCTCTTCTGGAAAAGCATTTGTATGAAACAGAAAGTGTTCCTGAATACAGCCACAGCTAGCAAGCAGATATGGGCCTTCATAACTGAAAAATAACCATCAGGAATCTACAACTGTCATTCAATTTAGACTTCAGTACTAAACAAGGTTCATACTAACTCTAGTTTATAATCTGATTTGAACTTCCAAAAACATATAGACTGTTTGTTTATTCTGTCTACTCACAACTCTTGCTTATATGGCCTTTGGAGAATGAATTGTGACTAAGAACGATGGTTGGGTAAATTCAGATCTCATAGCCCAGCTAGCCCAAACCTTGATTTGAACACTATCTTTAAACCATGGTTAACAAAAAAATGGGCAAATAGTTCCATCAGAGCACTTGGTGCATCTTAGCAGATTTCTTAAAGGACCGAATGAAGAGAGATGGCTTTGTTGAAACTTTGTTTCACTTTGTGTTTGTAAGTAGAGGCACCCTGTACATGTTTCCACAGAAACCCCAAACTTTTTTTGGAGGGACTTAGTTCACTGAATTTTTTGGTCCTACAGATTTACTTATTATGTTGTATTTTAAGTTATATCAGTCCTTAGGCATACCACAACATTAACCATTTTTAATTTTAATTTTCTGGTTGTTGCAAGATGATGGCTGCGTTATAATCAATCTGGGGCTAATGCACTAATATATTTCCTGCTCTCCTCAGTTTTGTTGTAATGTCCCTCTCACACCTGTTGCTTGTTTCGTCTTCCCACCTCATGCCACACATAGCACCTAATGTCATCCCACTTAACTATCCAGCATCCCAATCCACAAACCTTGTTCCCCAACTATACAGAGATAGAGGTTTAGTACAGGTGTGTCTGTGTGAGTGTTGAGACTGATTTTCACCTCTCTTGGGGTGCAGATCTCTTTCCACATTGTGATCAGCTTACAGAACATGTTGTAAGGTCCAGCCTTAGCTATTTTCCTTAGTTTGCCATAGACAGAGAGTTCACCATACGTCATTCCCATGTCTGCCTAGAAACACAGACACATATGAAAACAGAAGAACTGAAGTAAGAAAGACCAGGAATCCATAAAAATCCATCTTATGTGGAATTAGACTCATTGTCTACCAATACCATCAAAGCTCTCTACAAGCTCAAATAGAGCTCCTCTCACCGTATGCCACAGCTTAGGGTGGCAGTCACATAATGCAGGCTGAGACACTAGTTTTTGAAAACTCAATACATGTACATTGGTAGAGAACCAACATAGCCCACTAATTCCTTGCAAGTAAATAGAAAACACGCTAGCACAACCCAGAAGGGAGAGAGGAAGGTTCTAATCCAGCCTGCTCTCTATTGTTCATGTCCCTCACACCTGCAGGGATTTCTTAAAGCAGAGCACAGCATTAAAAACTTGACCACCACCCCTGCCCTTGCAGTTTGAAATGGTGTAACGTACTCTACTATGCGTGGACTGGCATCAGGTCCTTAATTAGAAATGCCAGGGATTAAACCTAGAATATTCTGAATATGTGCTTAACATGTGCTTACCGACAGAGAAACAAACCCTCCCTAAAATGTGTGGCAGTAATACAGAAAATCAATTCATCCCGGCAGCTGTCAGGAAGAAGGGTGGCTTAGAATTTTTTTAAAAGAGGTAAAATTGAACGATCCAATTAGCTTGAAAGAAGCTTTACTTTGAATTAAACTGACTGAAAACAATTAGCTGCGGAACACATTCCAGGAATGTACTGGGATGAGCGAACATCCTGCTCCCTAGAAATGGGTGGCGCTTCTATTGGCGAAGTCCCCAAAGGCTTCCACAATGTTGTAGCCCACACCAGGCTTGAGCAAAAGTCTTCCCTGCTGAAGTAAGAACACTGTGACCCTGTGCTGTGCAGAAGCCTCCCAGCTCACAGCCTTTAATGCTGGAGGAGACTTGTGGGTTTGTGGCAGGAAAATATGGGGGAAAGACATGAAATCTGAACATTTGACTTGATTATGCGGCACAGGTCACAAAACCAAGCTAATACATTAAAGTCATCTTTGTTTAGATAAAGAAAACAAGAACCCAGAACATGTTAACAGCTATGGATTAGGTTTACAAGAGGGGCTTGTAGTCGCTGCTTTTTACCTCATCAGTTTGAGTGACCTGTCCTTTCTTCAGGGGCTCCAGCTCGGCTGTTGGGGGGGCTGACAGAATACTGTGCAAGCAAAATAAATCCAGCCAATCAGATTAGTGTCTTGGGTTGCTCCAGCAAGCAAGTGCTTCCTGCTAAAGGCAAAACACACTGCCACCAGGGTTCAAGGTATCTCTCTTCCCCTGGCACAATTAACTGAAATAGATGATTGAGAGGTACACAGCTGTGCATATGCAGCAACATTATTATTATCAGGCACTGTCTGTTTCAGAGCCTCACATGTGTGAATTTTTTTTAAAAAGCTGTTAATCATTATCTTGCCCCTCCAATGTCCCAGGCTAATGCACGTGAACACCTCCCAGATTTCAATGAATGCCAAGAACAAAACCCATACACATGCATTCATACCAAAACAATTAGCCTGAGCCTCAACAACCAATGTAGTAACCAAGGTTTACTTCAAATTGATAAAACCAACCCCCCTCCCAATTTAAGTGTACCTCCCACTCTTATCCACATCATGTAGCATTTTACTTATTTATTTGATTTATATTTCACCTTTTTCGTTTTAAAAAATTCAAAGCAGCTTAGATCATTCTCCTCCTCCAGTTCTTGATCTTATCCCCAGAACAACAATCCTGTGAGGCTGGTCTGAGAGTCTGTGACTGGCCCAGAGTCGCCCAGAGTCACTCAGCTCCATGGCTGAGCAGGGACTAGAACCCAAATTGCCTGAGTCCCAGCCCTGCTCTTAACCCAGCACCACACTGGCTCTCACAATTTCCACTCAGCTGCAATCCTCTGAAAGATTTCTAGTGATATACAAAATTGCCCATGCCAAAGCAACTGATCTCAGGAAGCTATGTCAGATAAGATTGGGTTTTTAAATTAACTTATACCATTTGTTGTCTTAGCGATCAGGACTGGAGTATGCTGTCTGAAGTCCTAATTAGGGCCAGAATTGCATAATCCTCCAGGCATTCTGAACCCTGAACCAAACAGGGCAAACACATGAGGAGCCAGAGCACTCCTCTGCCCCCTCTACTGTGTCGCATTTGTTGCTTTCCCCTCCTGAAGGGCTTCTTCCTACCCATGAAGGCTCTCCATACATGCCAGTATGTTAGGAAACCATGGTTGTGGCTCCTGTAGAGAGCCTCCACAGACACCAGAAGCTCTCTTCTTAAGACAGGCACTGTCTACTTGTGATGGCAAAGGGGCATTGCTGAAGTGCTCCATCCCTTCATGCATTGCTCTAGTCTGGCTCATAATGTTTGCATAAGGCTAATGCAGCAAGCACAGCAGAGGAAGTGTCAAGATTCCAGCACAGTTTATAGTGGAATATATAGGCTGGGCCTATGTATCATTTCACCTCTTACCTTTTGAGTGATGTCAGGTGAAAAGTCTCAATGCAATACTGCATAAAGCTTCTCAGGTCTGTTTTGTTAATTCCCCCAATAGGATTGATGTCACCACTTGAACAGTCATACTTTGTGAAGTATCCTTGAAGGCTAAGGAAGAGAGCATAAATATTTTGACTTGGCACTCAGTCTGGTAACAAGAGTGATGGAATAAGCTGCCGTGCAATTGTCCAACAGTAGGGGCATTTTGAATGCTTTGGAAATAAAGTCTACATATCAATGCAAGAACAGTCAGCATTCATGCTAAGTGCTGATTTCCAAGCAAATTTACTTATATAATCTGTATAAGATCAAGGCCCTTTGTAGTGATTCCTAAAGTGGGTGGTATTGCCCCCCGCCCCGGGACAGTGGAAAGACAAGGGGAGCGGGCGGTAATTGGTTTAAATTTGCAGTACAGCAATAAACTGAATACAAAGAAAGAGGAGTGGGGACATTAGTGCTGTTGCCCAAGAGGAGAGGGGGAAAACTGATCTAGGGAAAGCTTCTACTATCAACACGTTAAATTAGCTCCTTGTTGCAATAGGGTGCCCAGCCTTTGAAAATGCCATAGAAGGAAAATACATCAGAATAAAAACAGTAATTAAGGCACTTTTTCTTGCCCCTTTGAGCCATCTACCAGTTACAATCAGCCCTCAGCAATCAGATTTTGTGCTTCCACATTGCTGTAATGAGTAATCTCTACAGTTAAATAGATTATTTGGATGCAGTCCAGTGGCTGGTAGATGCTGTCTAGCCAACCACAAGAAAAGGCATGGAAAACCCTGCTGGAACCTTGGAAAAGCCCTCTGAGGCCACAGTGGAGACTGCATCTTTGCCTTCCTCCTCCACTTGCAGCGGGCAGAGCTTCTTCCATGACTCCTGAAACTTTGAGGATTAGAGATCCTATTCAGAGCAGGTGCTGGGAGGGAAGCAGAAGAGTGAGGAGGGGAGATGCACCACCATTCTGTTTAGAATCCAATCTCTTCTCCCCATAAGTAGAGGGAAAACAATTATATGGCCAAAAGCTGCCATCTAAATGATTTGAGGGGTAGTGAGTGTGAAGGCAATCCTAGCTTCTGTGTTCTTCCTGCCCTTCATTAGCCTCTGAGTTCAGGGAGTTACAGGCAGCCATGTTGGATGGTGCTCCTTACTGAACTGTCTCGTCCATTTGTCTATCATAGTTTATCAACCATTTTCAATCAGATGCATGGAGTACCCCAAGAAAGCAATTGGTGTGTACGTTACACTAGGATATTCATATCTCAGGCCATTTCATGCATGTGAATAAACCATTGTTTCTACATTGCATATGCAGTGCACTATTTAACCTCAATGAACAAAACCAGAATTTGAAACAAGAATACAAAAACAAAACCAACAGATTGGTGGCTAAAGTATACGACTAAAAGACTTTCTGAAGTACTACACAGGAACATCTAAGAATACTGGACAGTCGTCTTATCCGAAACTATAGACCACCTCAGTCCACGTTCAAACCAAAATCCATCAGCATGTTTGCTGCTGCCAGGTATCTGCGAAAGTGAATGCAGATTTTCATTCTCGGTGAAGAAGAGCTTGATCATGCACAAACCTTTCATCCACATTGGCTGTTCCAAGCACTAGCAGTCCGCCAGGCATTCCACGAGTCCATAGGGATAGCTGCGCAAACAGGTAGGCAAGCACCATTCTTACTCTGGCCTAGAAGGCAAATTTAGAAAACAGGTTTTAATCATGCAGAACTTCCTGAAGGTTAGGTCACCACAGAATTTTACATCAGTAATAGCAGTGAGTTTCTAGACAAATATGGTACAAAGGAGTAAGTGAAAATTTCTTTGATATAGTAACTGTGACAACAGGGGTAGATTCATTTAGAAGGCACTCTTCACCAAACAGCAGAAATGCCTTCTTTTAAGGATGGAGAGCAGCAGATTAATTTAGAGAAGGAAGAGAATTAAAGTTGCAACAAGATACATGATTTGGTAGCAGCCTTGAAAGGGAGAAATCTGAGCATAATATCCAATTCTGTTGCACACACATGGTGAGGCCAGCCACCCTAGGGAGCTTTTGGTAAATGAGTAATGTGTCCTACCAGAGAGAGAAATCAGAAAGGATAATAAAAACCAGCATTCTCTTACCGTACCTGAACATTCTGTAGGGCCAGGTTTTCCCTTCTGCTCCCTCCATGCACTTGATACTGGGGCTGCTTTCCCGTCACGGCACTGAAAATTGTCCAAATGGCCTTTACTGCACCATCTATGTTTACATTTATATGATAACTGGGAAAAGAAGCACATATTTAAGTCGGATGAAAAGTAATCTCTGCTCCACTTTGACCAATTCTGTCAGTTTATCTTAAATTAGTGTCCCACAAGGAATAAAGGCTTGGAGGCAGGTGTGACTGTTGTGAGTGTGAAAGAGAGCATGAATTAATAACTGTGAAAATATATGTGCTGCCCCCACCTGCTGCTGCTGTCTTATTCACATGCACAGTCCCCACCACATCTTCAGATATCAAGGAGGCCCCTAAATCTGAAAAATTTGCCCCCCTTACTGAAGAAAACAAAAACGGGATAGCTATCTCCATCATACCTCATCCATAAGTTTCCAGAGGCTAACCTGTACTGGACACAGTATGGAACTAGTTGAGGAGTGGGCAACTTATTTATTATTTGGCACTTTTATATATTGTCTTGTAGCCACATGGCTCTCTAGATAGTTTCTATAATAAAACATTGGGCTCTTCATACATTTGGTAAGGGAATTGTAGGCCAAACCATCTGGAAGGCCACAAGTTGCCCACCCCTTGATTAGATGGACCTTGGAATTCGAGCATTTTTTAAAAAAATGATATTCTAAAAAAGTTATATACTGCCCCTGTGTCACAAAACCACTTATTCTGTGACAAGAGCATAAGATGGTACACATGTTTGGTACACAGAGCCATGTCTTCAGAAGGGCTCATATCGGCGGCATGTGCAGGTGGGCGGCAAGCATGGGCGGGGGGGGCCGCAAGGTGCCGCGGGGGGGGCGGAGAAGTGGTGCATGCGGGCGGCGGCAGCTTGCTTGCTGGAGATGGGTAGGAAAAGTGGGGGGCATCCTACACATGGGAGCGTCTTGTGGATGGAAAAATACGGTAACTTTATTATCAAGTGAACAAACTTATTTATTTATTTATACATTTATTTCTCAGGTCCTACAACAATGCGATTGCCCAGATGCAGCAGAAGTAGGCTAGCATGCTCAAGGAGTCTTCTCTGTCTATCTAGCATCACTGTCTGTTACAACTAGACCATGATCAGCCTTGTGTGTTTTTGCTGCACTGTGTCTTTTAACCTAGCATTCATCCTTTATATACCTGCCTATTTCTTCAGCCAAAGATTTGGCTTTGTCGTATGTCTCCTGAGAAGAGTTTTCACTAGCCATGTAGCAAGTTGTTAAGATGCGTCCACAAAATTCTCTGGGCTCCTTTGGCATATAGACCTCATCATTTACTATCTGACGCACATCATTCAGGACAGTCTGATCTGAAAGCAGTGGGAACAGAGGGAAGAATGAATGATGAGCTGAATAAACACATTTTTATGTCCATCTCTGGAAGGACACAGAATTAATATCTCCTGTGTCATTTCACAAAGTTTACTTCTGTATTAGATGAACCTTGAACCAACTTCAGTTTAAAGCTTACTTTAAATTTAAGTGATAAAATTAAATTCACACATTAATATACACATATACATGTATTCCTTTTCTGGAAAATTATAAGAGAATATCTTATCTCAATTTAAAATTATACAGAGTCTGAACAAAAATGAAATGTAATTAAGTTTGTATGAAAGAGCGAGCAAGAGAGAATTCAGATAAACATGCTTCATTTTGGAAACAGCAGTTAGGTTTGTTGTGGGTTCTAACATACATGCAATCTAAACCAGAAACTGTTGTTTGTGAGGTAAATGTTTAATATGTTAAAGTGTTTTGTTTAGATAGAAGGACTAATGAATGACTGTATTCTTCTAGAGTCAGAAGAGAGATAACAATGTTTGCCCGGTATGTCAAAGGTGAGCATTTCTAAGTGCCCTTGATTTCAATGTAATAGTTGAACACCTATTTCAAAGTCTGCCACTGAAATCAATAAAACTAAAATGCTTAACCCTGGCTGGACTATATTCTTTTTCTATGCCATTACAAAGAGAATTTTCCTCAATTAAACCCTTCGCTCAGGACACCTTAGTTGTATCACATTGTTAACAGAGTGATGCTAGAGTCCTCTTGGGCATATTAGCCTGGAGCCAGCAAAGGACTTTGGGTAAGGCAACATTTTTAAAACAATTCACCTGAGACAATGTCTGCCTTCACACATGACAAGCTATGCCAGAAACCACATAGGCATGGCTTGTTGTTATGTATGAATACAGCATCCACGGAGAAGCATGGCATGTCTGGTTTCCATGAAACCATGAGGAGAAACAATGGCTTGTTTTAAGGTTCCAAGCTTCACCATGGCTCATTATTACATATGACCCTAGCTGTCAAGTTTCCACATGGTTTCTATGTTCCTGCCATTGAGTTTGATGGCCAGAGTGGCTGCAGCTGTTGCAGATGCTCCAGCCTGCATTTTTCACTGTCCCATTGTGCCTAGCAACTGCCGAGGCAGCTGCAGCCACACTCTGATTGGCTGTCTCCATGCTGCTTATCTTTCCAGCTGGCACATGGCTTTTTGACACAAAGCAGCAGCAACAGGACCTCAGCAGCAGCGAGACACTGAGGCATGACACCTCCACCAGCAGCGACTGCAAAGACAGCCCTGCCTGGCGCTCCTGCCTTGTCCTTCCCTTTGTTGGAGAGGTGCTTTGAAGTGGCACCCCATTTGCGCTGCTCCAGGAGCCAGCAATCTCCTCATGCAGAGGCTTTCCTGCATGTAAGGAGCACAAGAGACAGGCCTGAGACATCACAAACAGAGTGAGCAATCCAAGTAGCCCAAGTCTCCCACCCTCTGCCCCATTCGCACCTTGGCCCAACAATCCCCAGAACTTTCCATAAGCCCCACTGGTCATTGTCTATGTAGATTTTAAATTGCCCCCTGTAATAAGGTCATGATAATGACCTACATTTGTAACACGCATCACAAACTGAATGCTTGAAGAAAAGTTCTGGGTGTCTTAAAGCTCAAAAATGCTTGAGCTAGCTATATCAAATAAAAAGAATGTTCTCACTCTGCTTTTAGAGGTTTGAAATCTTAATGTAAATACTATTTCCAACTAAAAACATGCATTCTAAGCATAAGGCCTGATTCTGCAAGAGTGGCATTCAATTTATGTGGCAAATACTGGCTTTCATGAAAGCTTCTCAGGAGTTTCTCAGGGGACAAATGTGTATAATCTACTGTGGGTTATTTAACCTCCCATGAGCTACAGAACATGTTGGCAGCCACTGTGAATACACAATGTCAATTAGGAAGTTGTCATGTTGCCTGAACCTAGCCAGCGGGGTTTTTCAAGGGTTAAATAATCCTCACATAACTCCTCATTTGTTCTAAACCTTACATAACCCAACTGGCAGGGTTCACACAACATAAGGACCCCCAGCTGCAAGTTGCATATTCAAATCGTGCCCACCACATTCTTTACCATACTGTGGCTTAAATAACTCATGCTGAGCCCTGGGAGATCATGTGAACCAGGTCTATGAGAAAACCAATACTGGAGGACTAGCTTCTCTGGAAGACAGATTGTTTCCACTATTGATTATTCCCTGAAAAGGTGCAGGAGAATACTGAATATGTATTTTAAGGCTCAGTTCCTATGAAAAGATTACACACCACAACATGGCTGCCCAATATCCTAAAGTTAAAACAAGTGGGTTACCACAAGCGTAACATGTAGTATTCGACTATCCTCAACTAGGCCTTTGGGAGAGACCATAGCTTAATGTATGGTTCCCAGATTACAAACAAGTCCCATTCATGAGAAAATGGAAATTTGACTTTAATTTGAATTTGTATACAAGTCAGATAACACAGTCAGCCCTCCACATATGCAGGGGTTAGGGGCACAGGACCCCTGTGAAAGTAGAAAAAACACACTCTCTATCTCGCTCTCCCTCCCCCCAAATGCATCAGTGCCTCCTCTCTGTAGCAAGAAATGCCAGAGAGTTCCTTCTCTGGATGGGCAGGACGGAGAGCACGTTTTGGAGGCCTCCCTCTCCCCCCCTTTGCTTCCTCTCTATGGTGACGTGTTGGAGGCCTTCCCTCTCTCCTATTTTGCTTCCTCTCTATTGTGATGCTTTGCAGCCCACCTCTTTTCCCTTTCACTCCTCTCTCTCTATTGTGATGACAATTTTCAGTAATTAATAGGCTGTATGGCAGTACATTTGTAACTACAGGTTGTTCATAACTAGAACGTTCGCAACTGGGGGACTGCCTGCATTTATCTGTTTATGTATTAATTTCATTTTTATACCACCTAAGAGCCAAGGCTCTTTGGGCAGTTAACAAATGTAAAAAACAAAATTCAAAGCACATACACAAGCACATGTGGAACACAGGCACCCAGGTTTAGTCTTCCCCAAAAGCTTGAAAACCAACTCAAGTACAGTTAAGCTTTGATAATCTCCAGATGTACTTACTTCCATTCTGTACAGCATAGCAAACCTGACGACACATGGAGAACACAATGCAGGCTGCAGAAGAACTGTCCACCCCACCACTAAGTGGCAAGAGAAATCCTCCCTGATTGATGGGAACAACAAAAACACAAGGAAACATTGTTGGGAAGCACGCCTCTTTCACTTCAGAAATTAACCTTCAAAATCGTTCCCTTGCACCCCTCAATTACACAGGCAACTTCAAATCTGATTGTGTTTAATTTTGACTACAAATAGTGTCCCTTCACAGGTCATTCAGTTATTTTAAGACCTTTGCTCAGAATCGTGACAACATGCACGCTTCTTCACATGCCTTAAAAGAAAAAAAAAAAAAGCTTTGGACAATGCAGACTGATGCAACCCTGTGGGAAGTTGTGAATCTTTCATAGGCTAGTCTGGACAAATGGTCATTTGGCTCCTCCTTTCTCAGAATCACTTTGTGTAGTGAACATTACATGCAGTAATTTTGTAATAGTATGGAAGAGTTGGTACCTGAACATGCTCTTATTCCTCACTCTTTTTTCTTTCATATCATGTCCCTTGGACAAATATAAATCACCAGCACTGCTTTGGCAGAAAGGCGGGTGGTTCACAAATGTAACAAAATGAATGTGTACCAACTATTTGTAGCAAAGAATGCACAGTTATCCAGCTTTGACCTGCTTTTAAAACAATGCTCCGTTCTAATTTTTGCTATCATGGACACTGCAGATTTCCGTTTTCTCTCTAACTTTAGAGTATTAAGGTCAGTAGAATGCTATGAATGGAACCATATCAAACAGATTAAAGTAAGTAGAAAACATTTTCAAATAGAACAAAAAAAACTTTCTGTAAGTATCAGGTTTGTTACCAAAGTCAAAAAGAAGCACAATTCACTCCCAGTTATTAAGCCTCAGAAGCATTTCAGCCATTTATAATGGAGGAAAATAAACAGAGGCTGAGAAACCATATGATCAACAACTGAGAAGAAAGCGTGTAAGGCCATGGGAAGGAGCAGAGCCATCTGGGCAACCTGGAGGATGACTCCAAGCAGGCCAGATTGAGCTTGTGCATTTGCAGTTCAGTACCACTGTGGTAAGGTTTGCCAAGGTGCTTAGAACTTTGGCAAATAAAGGAAGAGAAAGCTTTACCTGTTTGCTGCGCCGTAAGTAGTCCCAAAGCCAACATGCAGGACCAAGGCTAAAAGTAAAAGAGGACTTATTTGAAGATAAACATGGAAAACATGTTCTCACAAAATTATGCCACACATTGCCATGATCTACATTTTATTATATTATTCTATTGACACTATCCACACAAACCTACCACGCACAGCACAATACAATGCATATTTACTCGGAACTAAGCTCTGTTGAGTTCAAGGGAGCTCAATCCTAGGAAAGGGCCACAGGATTGCAGCCTTAGTGATTTGCACTGGAAAAATGTAATGCTCCCTGAAAAAGATGGCAGGTGATTTTTTTGTCTTTGGGTTCATCTGTTGTTACATGCACATGGAATAAGTTATGAAGTGCACATAAGCATATCTGGCTTGTCTGGAGTCCCAGAGTTGCCTTCCAAATGGTCTTGTCGCTTCCCCTGGCCCAACACCTTTTATTTTTAGCTGTGACTTGTATGATGGTTTCTCAGCTTTTGTTTTTCCCCCGCTTTTCTGCACTGCTATTTCAAAATACATACAAACAGCAAGCAGGAAGGGAGGAAAAGGGAAGGAATGTTCTTCTCCCCTCTTTTCAAGTGTGACCCTTCACAACTGAAGCATGATTACATATCTGTGTTCTAGTGCTAGAAGCATAACACAAAATGTCACGAAAGAAGTGACCTCAGAACGACAATCTATTTCACTTTTTGACATCTCATTTCTATCCCATCTTTCCCTGATGAGCTCAAGGAATTGTACATACTTCTCACCACCCTGTTTTGTCCTCCCAACAACCTCATGATGTAGGTTAAGCTAAGAAATGGAGAGTGAACCCAATGAAGCTATTGGATGAACATTTTTTTTACAGAAAACAAGGCACTATGACAAAGTCGAAATTAGGATGTGACAAAATATACACTATGAAGTGAGAAGCTGTGCATGGATCTTCAGAGGATGTTGACTGCAACTCACAAATATACTGTTGCTGTGCAGTATTGTGTGCTGGGAAAACAGTAGAACCATTTTGATAAAACAACTGAAACACTTGGCAATCCAAGAAACAAACAGTCCACTAACAGTACTAAAAATTATTTACCAGGGAAGGGGAGATAAATGGTCTAGAGGCATCCAAAGTTTTAGATTTGCTGAAACTGTTCGAAACATTGGTTCAAGAAGCCTGGAAAGCTTGCTTATCATAACATTCCATTCTGATTTGGTATACAGGAGACATCTAACAGGGGTTATCTCACTGCCCAGTACAGACGAGGAACATGCATCCAAGCTTTATATCTTGGTCCTGACTTCTGCCCAGCCAGTTCTCTTTTAGCTGAGTGTTTTCACTTAGCAGCCAGGAGCAGAGATAGAAGAAAATTTAGACAATGGAAGAGCAAAACCCCATCTCTTATGATTGCCAAGTTCCCTTTGGAAAAGCATAATTGCTCAGCCTACCACAGGGTGCAGTAGGAATGTTCCTGCAGAACAAATCAGATTGGAGCTCCATTCTCATCTGATGCAAGGAGATGTCCATCACAGGATGTACAAAAGCTACCATTCCTACAGGATGGACCCCAAAGCAATCTGAACCAAAGCCTGAAGGAAAACCTGTTATAATGCTGTATGTCCAAAGGCTGGTTCAGCCAAAGTTTATCATTTAGTTTGTAATGCCTAATGAAAATATGATGCTCACATCAAATAGTTACCTTAAAGAACTCCACTGAAGACGAGAAAAATAAAGAAAAATTGCTGAGGCAGCTGTGGCCTTTGTGATGCATACATTTTTTTTAATCTCATAGGTCACAAATATACATGATTTGAACCACCTAGTAAGACAAAAGCTATAAAATGCTCCTTGAGAGATAGACTATGTAGTGAGACAGTTTTCAGCAGCCTAAAGGGGAAACTGGAAAGAGCTGACAGTACCACATGCAGACATCAAGCTGGGAGGAGATATAAGACTAGAGAATGTAGCAGTGTCACTCATTTGAAGAATCACTGAAAGAACAGGTGAGAACCAAATGGCTTGTGGCACAGCATAGAGAGAACAGGGGAGTGCTGTAGCTTATCTGCAAAGTCTGTCCACTTTGAGTCTTATATCTACCCATGCTTGAAGGACTGGATGCATTTCCTTGGTTCTTGTTGACCTACAGTCCTGATATTTTCTTCTACACCTGCACAGGTGGCACAGTTCCTTCTGCACATGTTGCAAATAGGGGTGGCTCAGAGCACTAGGTCCTAGCTCTGAAGACAGAATGCTGCCTCTGATCTTGGAACGATGAATCCAAAAATCTTATGATCCCTCAAAAGCTGTCAAAATGCCGCAGAATTGCTCCTTAAGAGGCACATGTAGAAACTATGTTGAAAGAGAAACTCAAATTCTGTTCCAGGCAGATGCAAAAACAAAACTGTCTCCTTGCACCATCCCCTGCAGCAAAGACCCATTAACTGCTTAAAGAGCTTATGTATCCTTTGAGCATTTGGTCTCCAACTCCCATTAGCCTAGCCAATACGGCCAATATTGAGAGCTCTTGGGAGGTGGGGGCTAAAAGACTCAAAGGGCGACAAGTTGCCCTGGTTTTGAGGATGGGCAGAGAGGAAAAAATGGGGGAGAGGCAACTCTTGTTCCCTTGTACTTTCCTTCTAAGAGCTGTAGAGCAGGCCCACAGTTTCCAATACCAATGCATCTTTCAGACAGAAGTGTATATTTCAGAGTGCGACAAGGAGATTTCTCCCTGTTGAAAAATTCAAAATGGGAGGGAACTGTTCAATTTTGCTCTGCTTATCTCACCTGTGCTGCTCTAGCAGCTCTTGCAGTGTGAACAAAAAGTTGTGCTCCAAAGCTACACAGGTTTCACCTACCTGATCTCTTCTGAAGTACTATGATACCTCCACTGGATTGGCTCACTTGTAGATACACACGTGTCATCAAAACCTGACAGGGCAAACTTTACTTTTATTCTGTGGTAAGGTGTCACTTCATTTGCCTAGCCAGTCCAAAAACAAAAAGGAAGGAAGGAAGGAAGAAAAGAAAGAAAATTCAGAAAAGAGAGGTAATCACATCTTTCTGTTAAAGTAATCTATATTTTCCTATGTTCTAGAATTCCATTTTTAGTTAGCAAAGCAACTTACCCCAATAAAACACCTTATTAAATTATTATGGAGGGAAAAATAATGTGATGAATTCTTACTGCTAGGTTTCGAGAAGATATTTCTGCTCTGTAACTTCTGACATCTTCCAAGTCCAGAGTAGCAACCAAAACTTCCTGAAAAATGACAGAAGAGCCAAATAACTAAAAAGTATAGAGTCTTCAAAATCATTTCTCATTACATTTCTATTTTATACTGAAGACATAATAGCCTCTAGCTTCTCTGTAACATGGAATTAAACCCAGTGATGGCATATTAGTATTTAACATGCACACACTAATGTTTACATGCAAACATTAATATCAGGTGTGTCTAACAGCATATAAGCATATATGAAGATGTTAGGCTGAAAGGGACTAGAAATGAATCTTTGAAGCCATGCCCCAATATTAATAGAATATTCTCCCTCAAGAAGTACATATGAGTCCCTCACCTGTGAGTTTAAAAAGACCTCTTAAAGGTTCAATTCTATGCAAGTTAAAAAAAGCTTTAAAAGCTTTGCTGGAGTTGTAGGCTTTTTCTTCCAACCTTGCATAGGATTGCATCCTCCAATTTTTCTTAACTGTTGTGTCTTATTGATGTTTTATTCCTCATTTTAAATAAACGTACTCTCAATTTTTATTTTACTGTATAAGTTTCTATGCCTATTATTCTGTATAGAGATTTAAAAAGGCAAGAGCCCTGAAATTCCATTAATGAGTCTTGTAGTAAGTAAATAAATATGCATTACCACATCATCCAGAGAAAACTGAAGTCCTTGAGCAACAATGTCCCCATTCAGAGAGATCATTGCACAGCCATCATAATACAGACGATCTCCATCGCAGCCCTTCTGATTAGCTAACACATATATCCCACCATTCTAAGCAAAACACCGCAAACACATATAATTAAAATGCAGTAAGAGTAACTATGTCAACCTTTTAAATATAACAGCAAATCTTTTGTCATTACATTGTAAGAGAGCTGCTCTAAGCAACATAAGGGGAGCCTAGTTTAGGCCATCACTGAAGCGATACAGGGAGCTTTACACAGGAGCACTGTGTTGCTGATGCTGCTTTTGAGTCCTATTTCATATTGCTCAAGGGGCAGTACTCAACAAATCTTTACAAACATTTGGGATTACCTGTGTAAAAGCAAGAAAACAAGTAGAAGAAAGATCTCTTATGGTACCACCTCTGCAAAAGTAAAAGGCTCATACCAGGAAAGCTGCTCCATCAAGGTTTCACACCATCTAAGCATTTACAGGTCAAAACCAGCACACTGAATTGGGGTCCAAAATGTACAGGCTGCCAGTATAAGCAGCCAGAATCATGTTCAGCTCTTCCGGTCGCTACCATCAATCTGGCCTCTACATGCAAGCTGCAGCTTTCATACTGTCTTTAAAGGCAGCCCTACTTAAAATGCACTGCTGTAATCTAATTTAGAGATTACTAACATAAACCTTATCAGTTACAGAATCAAGCAGAGAGTTTTAGGGGGATTTAGTTGCATACAGATACATTTCATAGATACATACTTTATTTCCATAACCAAAATCACAATTTTGCTCAACTGCTCTGATTGCAAAAATAGTTTCTGGTCAATACAGCCTGCATCTGCTTACAGGCCAATTCCAAGAAAACTTCTTGGAATTTTTCACACACAGGAGGGGCTGCATGGAGACATTAAATAGCCAGATTTCCTGTTTGCGCTGGCCCTGTAGAGAGGGGTGGAAGGTACAACAATCTGAAAGGGATGGCAATGGCTCTGCTTTTCTTTGCAAGATGAGGGACTGTAATTCACTGCTGGAGCATGTGCTTTGCATGAAGGAGATCCCAGGTTCAAACTTCAGCATCCGAAGATAAGGCTGAAGTAGCCCTGCCAAAAGAACTTGATTCCTCTCTGCTACCAACCAGTCACTTTGATGATACTGGACTAAATAGGCCAATCTAAGGCAGAGTCCTATGATTAACTCCCAGTTTATAAAGGATAATACTATGGCCAAAGCAATAAACCAGGACCATGCTCTGAACATACATGATGCAAATACTTTGGTTAAGCTAAGGAGGTCTAGTCAGCGCTAGCCCAGGGACAGGAGACTTCTGAGGAACTTTGTATGTGAGCCTTTGAGTTCTACTAAAGGGACATAAAGGTAATAAGCATGTGTGTAACTATTATAAAATGAATCTCAGGATGATCTACCTTTGCTGTTGCAAACTTTACCAGTTCCACTCGAGTGTTAGCTTTTCTTAATATGTGGTGACTTGCAGAGGAATTTGTGAAGATCTCCACTCCATCAATACCCATTTCAATGTGAGGACTGTGAAATTGAGCAACCACAAATAAACAAAAGAGATTGCAGCTCTACAAAATAAGTACTGCTGTACTGGCCATGCCACAGAATGTTAACCATGAATGAGCAAGCAGAGAATGAAATCAGGAAGAATTAACCCCACAACAGCAATACTTGTATTTAAGTGTCTGAAAAATTTCAGTCCATCTAGAGCAGGGGTTTCAAACTTGCAGCCTGCGGGCCAATTGCCGGGATGGGCGGGGCATGGGGAGGGGCCCTGCGGCTTCAAAGCGCCAGCGGCGCCCGGGCCAGCCGCGGGATGAGCGGCCCACCACCACCGTGGTGGTGGAATCCTTGATGCGGCCCAGCCTCACCCAGACTCCACTTCCAGTGGCCCCCAGGTAAGTTGAGTTTGAGACCCCTGATCTAGAGTGATATTTGGGAAAAATTCTTTTAGCAGAATTCTGCCTATAGAATGTTCTCACTAGAAAAGAAAGAGAAAGAGGTGATTCTCACAAGATTCCTCCTTTCCCATACAACTTTCTGAAAAGCTACTCTGGAGGATTAAGGAACTTTCTAAAATGGTGTGGGAGGTAGCACAGGGGATAGTGTCAGTGTCAGTGAAAAACACTTCATTTTCTCCAGTGGGAATCTCTGTTGGATCACTATCACTTCCACAAATGCAAAATGTTACTCCAGATCCAATCCAATGGCCAGCATTCAGATGACACAACCACCCACACTTGTTTATTATCACAGGTGGACTGTGTTGCCTAACCAGGTTTGCTTCACCCATGAAGGCTTGTTGCTTCATTCAGACTGGGACAGCACAACCCACCATGACTGAGATCGTGTAGACAGTGAGCTGCTTGACGAGAGGGGCAAAGTCCCCTTACCATTCTCACCAAGTGACTGTCTGGTAAACTTACACTGCCTGGTGAAATGAGGGGGGTGGAAGGGAGTGAAGAGAGGCAAGTATCCACAGTGGGCCCAATCATTCGTTGGGCTCACTGTTGGAAAAGCAACCAACCTATCACAGGGTATACATGTGGTGGGTTGTTGTGACATCCAAACAAGGTCAATTTGAATCCTTCTGTAAAAAATGCACTGTTCATAATTCTACTGCAGAAACATTGTACGTAAGTAGCCTTCCTTTGAAAAGCCTCATTCATCTGTGCAGTTTCAGCCTATTTGTCAAAAATGCCTGAACCAAAAAGTTCAGTCTAAAATATGACTGAGCTCCTGAATCTTGCTCTTGATTGTATGTGGGGCCTCTCTCTCTGGAAAACCCTTGTTTACCTGGTAAACCTGTGCCTGATCATTTGCCTACTAAATTGAGTTTCCTATAACATTTGCCTTGCTAAAAGTTGGACTCAGTCAGAGCAGGACACAGTTTGATTCATTTTTGCAATTCCAGGAATATTTTCTCTAGATTTCAGTTCAACAGTCTTACCTCATTGGTGTCCACAATTCTTCACATATTTCAGTCCCAATGCAAGTATCTAAAGTTGCTAGTACTGCATCGCCAAATGGGACACTTTCCTAAGATAAGCAAAGAGTGAAAATGGGTTGTTGGAGGGGAGAAAAGAGTAACCCACACACCATCAACATTAATGAAAATATCTGACTGAAAATATGACTGAGACATGTTTCATGTACAATCTCTGTCAGAATACCAACATTTTTCTGAAACTAAATTTATGGCAGTTATACTCTGAATTAAAACATAACATGCAACAGGGATTACTATGGTTTCCTCTTTTGAAAACAGAGCATTATAGAGCTAGCTATCTGCCCAGATTGACCCCATCTGCAGTAAGAAGCACCTTTGAGCTGTGATTTCAAGTTATGCCAGCTGCAGTTTTGGATGGGCAACATAACAAGGTGCCTCTTGAACACAGATTATATATTTGTGGTTTATATCAAGTTGAAGACATTGCTCATTACATGATGATCTGTCCTCAATAAATTGACCCCACAGAGATATATTTGAAACCCTTGCAAGCTATCATGCAAGTACTGAATGCCTTGGCAGAAACAGATCTTTTTCTTTTAAATAATCCTAATAGTTATGTGACACATAAAGTTGCTTTGTTTGTTTTGGCAGCAAAAAAAGATCTGGAAAGGAGAATTAGACAAAATTGCTATAAATTGCACCGGAAATTCAGGGAAAAATTAAATATTAATTTCTCTTCATAGCATATTTATATTTATATCATTGAAATTATTCATATTGTTGTTTATGCGCATTCATTTGATGTATTTGTTATAGCCTTTGACTCATACAATAAACTTTTTGAACCTTAAAAAAGTGGAGAGGATACCTAATTCTTGTTTCCAAACATATTGGAAAGTTTTGCTCAGCCAAGATACGCTTCTGAGACTACAAAGGCTTAAATGTTCCTGATCTCTTAAACGAGAAAGGAATTATTAGGAGTAGGTCATGGAATTTGGCCTACACAGTACCTCCCCCTTGTGAAAACTGCCTTAAACTGCAGCCGAAGGTTGAAACTGGTGTTGACATAAGTCTTAATGCTTGATGAATTTCACTAGGAAAATTCAGAGTGCAAGAACCTGTATGCCTAAATTTTGCTATCCATCCTAATAGTTTTCAAGTAACCTGCCTGATCTGTTTTTGAATTCAATTATTACCCTAAGATAAGGGGAAGGAGTGGAAAATAAATAACTGGTTGTGCAGTTATTTCTCAAAATAGAACAATAGGCTATCAAACTTCTACAATCTCATTGGAACCATTTGTGCATAACTTCTGAAGATTAAAAACATACTAGTCTCCACCAGGTAAGCAGCTCACCTGACTTGTTATTTCTTGTATCATCCTAGGAAGAAAATATTCTTCCACATGCCTGAAGAACAAATTATTTGAGTTATTTATTTATTATTTCCATTGATATCCCGCTTCACATAAAAATACCCAGATGGATAACAACAGTATTAAAAGGTTAATGAATATTGACGTATATGAAACCTCTGGTAAACAAATTGATCAATCCACAACAGAGCTAACCAGTCATCAATGCCCAGGTGAACACACAGGTCAATGGTCCACTCCAGGGAGAATCCTGGATCAGTGGGCATATCTGGAGATTTGCCAGTGCCACAGACACTCTCAAAAATGGATGCCATGGGGACTTGCCTGGTCACAAAATGGCTGCCCTGGGGCGGATGATTGCTCACAAGACACCTGTTTCTCAGAAAGCAAACTAGTAAAACTTTTTAAAAAATTGTCCAAGAACCTAAGCAGAAGGCAAAGGTGGGGCCTGAGCTCCAAACTACAAAACCACTCTTTTGAATCCACAGCTTTCTGCTTGAACAACCATTTCACAGAAGTTCTGCATGGTATATGTTTGCATGGTAAAAACTGCACGGTAACGCCTTCTGAAGCCTTCTTCTAATACAGGTTTGCAATACAAATATCAAGGATGAGCACAGTTCATTAAAGATGCATACCTATCTGTCCTTGGACAGACAAAAGTCCTACAGTTTCCAGCATATCCAAGCTTATATGGCTGTCTGGAGGGAGGCTGGGAATTGCAGGACCTTTTTTCTGTCTAAACAGGTGTAATATTGCACTTTACAGTGACTATCAGAAGAACAAAGCCTACCTTGGTCGGTTCCAAGGAGTGAACCATCGCATTTCCCGGTAGTTTCCTGTATTTGCCAGTGCTACCTTTGGGCGTATCAGAAGAATTTTCCTTGAAAAATCATACAAAAAGGTGGTGGGGGGGAAGCTACTATGAACATATGCATTGAAACCAAACAAAACTGAAATATTTGAGCCAGTCATAGGGGGAAAGGTTGAAGGATACATTTAACCCTGGAGAATAATGATTAAATGGGAATATGCTAGCTATCTTCAAACCTTTGAAGGGCTATGGTGTAGCTAGTAGAGAAAATTTCCCATAGCTTGAGAGGATAGGACCTGAAACAGCAGGTTCAAATTAAGAGACAAAATGATTTAGGCAAAGCATTAGAAAGAATAACCTGATAGTATGATCTGTTTAAAAGTGAAACAGATTCCTTCAGAAGATGGTAAATTATCCTTAGTTTTGTGGGAGATACTTGGATGGATGAAAGCTGGAGGCAGAAGCTGGATGGCCATCGAGTGGAGATGTTGCAGAAGTAGATTTCCTGCATTACCAAGAGTTGTACTAGACTACCTTAGAAATCCTTAGATCCTATTTTTTCAATGATTGGAAAAACAACTCTGACTTCTGCTGAAATTAATTGGAATAAAATATACTAGCAAGACAAGCATGCATAGATGTTACCGGTAGATGGTGAAAAGCATTCACATACTTGTTCAGGAAGATCACTCTACAGTTGTAGCGAACATTCCGGTGCATAATCGGCCTGTGGAAATAAGAAAGTCCAGTGACATCAGGCCCTTATTGCAGGCTTTGTCCTTAAATAAAGACCAGAACTAAATCTAATGTGGAGTATCTTATGCAAACCTACAGTCACTGCTGCATCCAAATCTCTCATGTATAGCACGTACCAGAAATACTGACTACTGTGATCTCACTAAAAGATTGTCACTTAGCAGAAACAAAATTTTGCCACTGCTAAATTTTGTTCTTCAACTAGACAAAGTAGAGCCTGATGCTAGTCTTTCAACAGATGCTACTATTTTTATGTATGAACAGGCCTTCACATTGACAACCACTGTGGTGCAGTAGTTAGAGTGTTGGATTTGGGTGATCTGGATTCTAATCCACACTCAGCAATGAAACTCATTGTGTGTCTCTGGGACTATAACTGACTCTCAGACCAACCTACCTCATAGGGTTGTTATGAGGATAAAATGAAGAGGAAGAGGAGGATTATGTAAAATGCCTTGTGTTCATTGCAAGCAAAATGATGGGATATTAATTTAAAAGATAAATAAATGTGTTAATCCCACATAGAAAATACTGTATTTATCATATAACGTAATCCAAAGCAAATATTCAAGTTTTTTTCCAAAGAAACCCATGATACACTGTAATTATGAAATACTTACATTCCAACATCACATATTATGTCTTGAGTAACAGGAGATTCCAAGAGCTTTGCCAGAACTTGAAATGAATGCAAGAGTGTATCGGACTCATAGTAGTGATCTGCACAGCCATAGCCACTGCACAGAAAAGATAAACCGTAGAAAAGCAGATTAAACAAACACATATTATACCCATTAAAGCAAAAGCTCTGAGCTGCTTCCATGAGAGATAACACCTAAACCAGTATCATTTCAGCACAGCTTATCATTACCTTAGGAAGCCGCTTGCCCCTTATGTCCTTGCGTGATCTCCGTGATCAATGGAAACTTTTCTGAGGGCACCGCATACACCTGAGGTTTGCCTTGGGACTGCCTGCTGTAGAGCATTCAGCATTGCAGTACCCACCCCAGAGCATCTCCCCAGTTACTATTATGCTATGTAGTTTGAAGATGTCCTTAAAGCCATCTGCAGGCACAGGCTTTCCCTGTGGCATGACCCAGTCGATCATGGCTCGCAACACAGAGTGTCTGGTTTTACTGCTGACTAATTTGAACTCTGCTGCATTGGCTCTTATATTTATGGCTGTTTTGATGTCACTGTATTTCATGTTCACTGCCTTGATGGAAAGGAGAATATAAACTTGAGCAATAAGTAGGCAGGAAGTTGTGCACACCTCACATGTTCACACTGAGTCCATTTGTCTGTCCATTTGTGTGTGTGTGTACAAATGGCAGGGAGGGCACTTCCTCAAGAGTTACACATCACAAAATAGTCATGTGTGTGCTCATTAATGTGAAACCATCTCTGTCCTTCGTAGAGTCTAATTTGAACGTCTGCGGCCTCCTTTCACTTCCTATATTAAGACAGTCACTAAGCACAGACTTTTCCCCCTTCCCCTTTTTAAAATACTTTATTTATCATCTGCCTGACAGAGTTCTGTAGAATGCAAAAGCTTGAACAGTATTTTGTAACCTTTGCTTAATTATAGTATTGTCATAAGGATTTTAGCAACTTACTTTTGGGTACCCAAAAAACACATATAACTTAGTCCGAAGAAGCAATATCTCAAAGAAAACTGGCCTTCTATGAAGCAAGTACTTACATCAGTAAAATCAATTGGTTTCCATTAAATGGCCCTCGTTTAAGTCACTTGGGTTATCAATACCAAAGAAATAACTGCAGTAACTACATAAGAAGTATTTGCTACATTGTTCGTTCATTGAATGTGCCTGAAATATCCATACTTTTCCCATTCTGCTCCTCTCTTTCCCCAACAAATGGTGAAAAGGGTTTTCCTATAATTTCAGGGTGAGAAGGAAGAGATACTGAGGAACACCCAGTTAGGGACAACTCATCCCATAAAGGAGCACAATGTTCCAACTACACCCCTAATTCAAACATCAGCCAGTTTTAACAGTACTGATCATCTGCGTGGGGAGATGTCATGCCCTGCTTGGAGGAATCCTCCTCAGGGGTTGATCTGAAGCCTCTTGAGTCAGATGTCCCCAGGAAACAAGTCACTTTGTGGTATCCTGGGACTGACCTGGCCATCAGGAAAGAAGATCTTCCCCCTTGAGCATAGAAAGCTTAGCTTTTGAAGCAGAAGGATGCTGGGTCACCACCTAGAACCTAAGAGCAGCAGTGTCTTAAGACTCATGGCAGAACAGTGGCCAAGAGAAAGAAAGTTTAAGTCCGGACTAAGAGATGCTCACCAAATTTCAAGTTCTGGCCCAAGTCGGTACCTTGCTCCTTTGCATTTAGCAACTTCAATACCTACAAAATTAAAATAAAATTATGAATCTTCTATAATCAGTTGGCAGGGTAAGGATCATACATTTAAAAGTAGAACCAAGGATATGGATACGCTGCAACTCTGTAAAGCACAGGAAAACTGCACAATGTGGTGCCTACAAGAGAATACAGAAGCAAATTCCTAGCCCTTCTGGCTACAAGAATATGTATATGGATGCTGACTTGTGTAACCAAGCAACATAGTGGTAAGCTGTGACTGGGTATCCTCAAACTGAAACAGATAGGAAATCTAATTACTGATCTCCAAGATCTCAGATACTCATCAGACCAGCTCCAAATGCTGTAAAGCCATGTGTTCTCTTCTTTAAAATCTTACCCCATGGTAACTTAATGCAAGTCCAGGTATTATCTGCACTTCCATAACAGAAGATCAACAGAAACATGAGTCCCGTATATGCACACATACACTTCCATTCAACACAGATGTCTTCTATTTTCTTGCAGATTTACTAGTCTACTACATTAGTGTTTGTTTTCTCCCTTCATTAAGTATTTTGTGTTAAAATTATATACAATTATAGAACAGAACTAAAACCAGCAACTCTGTTTTCAGATGTGCCTCCTGCTCTCACTCACCATAGTGATTGGGAAGTCTATATGTTATTTAATTTCCATTGCATCTACCTGGAAGAATGTCTCATTGACTTACATGTCTCAAATTGACTTACTTCTGATAGACATATAAAACAGAGTTCCACTTATTCCATTTCTGATTTATCTATTATCAATAGAAAATGTATCTCCGCCGCAAGCACAAATATATTAAGCATGCATGAACACATGAACCAAGTATATAGATTACAGAATGAGGTGGTAGACTGACGGTTAAATTCTGCACTCAATTTCGCTTCAGAAAGGAGATTGACCATTTGATTGAATTTAATAAACAGAAGCAGAATATTCTTTTTTTAAGGTTGCACCTTGGATGTTTTTCCTTCCCCTTGCAAAAAGGTTCTACTATCTAGTGAATGAGCACATGGGCTAGAAAGGTTTAGTTTTTGCTCTTCACACCTCGCAATTATAACAACAGCCCCATGCAAGTCATTCCTTGTGGATCTTTATGTATCAAAACATATATCAAAACACCATGGACAAGAGGGGGCTATAAATAGGCTCCGAAGGAGGCTTCACAGTCAACAAATTTTCAGTGCTGCGGGGGAGAAGCGCGACGAGGAGCGAGCATGTTCAGGGGTCGCAGAGCGCAAAGGGCTGGAAAGGCAGTGGGACTTCAGGGAGAGAGAACGGGACGGAGTATCCCGGAAAGGGGCACAGCTGCCTGGCTGGCACCCTAAAGAGAAGCGCTCCGTACTGCAACATTCGGCTGCAGGTCCCACTTGTCGCCCTGACTATTCCCTGATGCGGGAATTCACCTCTCTTTCCTCGCCCGCTATTTCTTTAAGTTGCCCTTTCCTCCCTTTAGTGCCCATAGACCGTGCTCTTCGGCTTACTTTTCAAAATCCTCTGCAAGTTGCCGTCAAAATCCAGCGCCCACTGATTCAAGGCGCAGGTAGCAACAGTGACTTTCCTGCCCATGACGCCGCCACTAGGGTACCTCTGCTCCTGCAGAAAGGCAGCTGCAGCCTAGGCTGCTCCCCCGGCTGCAAACCTGTGCGCGGCAAGACCTAAGAAGCCGGGAGAATGCGCTGCGATGCCAGCACACTCTGACGATCTCTTCCAGCCTAAAGCATAGAGCTAGGAAAAGAGCGGGCAGATGGACTGCTCTTCGGCTCCCGTTTTCCCACCCTCAGGGAGTATAGAGTTATCGCCATGGAGATGAAAAGGATAGAGCGACGCCATAGAGACGATTAGGCGAACACGCACGCCCCCTGGCGCTCTGTTTGGCATGTCAATTTACCGAAACTATTCAGCGTGGAAAGAACAGGAAAGGTGATGCAAATGAATTGGAATTAATATTGAATTGGACGCCAACTCAGGGGGCGATGTAAGTGACACTTTTAAAAAGTGCTTTCAGCTCTCTTTTATCTCGTATCACCTTTGTTGTACTGAGGTCGCTTCTTGTCTGTCGTCTTTTTTGGTAATTAGTATCACAAAACAGGATAAAAGATAAAACTAATGTGCATGAAATTAAGATCTGTATAGATACAAACTAAGCCTGACTGCTTAGTTTGCTTTTCATATGCAGTTCAAGGATGAGCCCAGCTCCTTCTCCTGGTGGTTCTTTATAATGGCACTGGCATGGACAACCCTTCAAATAGAACATAGTCCTCTAACAGCACTTCAGGTAGTTGACAGCTTTGTAAAAAAAAAAAAAAAAAAAAAGAGCATACAGTTGCCTTCCAGTTATCAGCATGATGGTGTGACTTTCAGATGATTTGCAAATAGTATACAGTATTTGTTTTTTAAAGAATCCATCTGGAATAGCTTCCTTTCCTAAGTAGTTATTTTACTGTCTGTGAGCATGTTAATTGCTTGATAAAGATGAGCCAAGTGTTCACTTCTGAAAGTTGTTATCAACTTCGGCTCTATTTGAAATGTAGAGATCATAGTATATGCTATGTCATCTAGAATCTGGGAATCTATTAACAATGGACAAGGATCTTATGGCTTTCCTGCAAACGTTGCAGGCTTAATTTAAGATATTTTGTATGCAAATAGGTGCCTTGCCACTTCCCAAAGATTCTCACACTAGCCTCCCAAAATCTGGGATTGTTGGATGTTAACTTCCATCAATCTGGCCAGCATGATGAATGGTCAGGAACACTGAGAACTGTAGTTCAAAACAACAGGTGAGCACCAGTTGACAAACACACAGTTCCCCCCCTACATACACACCCCTGAAATTTACCTGCCTGTAATAATATATAGTTAAAATACTGTGGCATATCACTTAAATGTTCTAAGAATTCACTGTATTTGTGCTCCTACTCTAAACCTGCATTCAGAACCAAAACAACCGGCACTTTATTTGCAGGATCAAGTGGTCCAGGTCCTGCTGGAGCTCTCAGTCTCCTGAGTACCAGCTGGGAGTCCTGGTGGAAAGCTATGTAAGAGCAAGCTCTCCCCTCTAGATTTGGCCTTAGTAGTACAGATTATGCTACACTGCCTGCACCACCAGGCTGCTTTGCTGTTGTGCCTGACCCATATCCTACCTGCCTTTTCATGTTGCCTCAACACTGCAGGTCTGCCTACTAGCTATGGTTCAGCTCCTGCATCTTGCCTGACCCTTGCTGCATCTGGTTCCTGCCGTCTCCTGTATCTTGCTGTGCACCTTGTCTTGCTCTGTACCCTGCCAAGCCACACATCCTGCCTCAAGCGCCTGTATCTTGCCTGATGCTTGCTCTGCATCATGCCTTGCTGTATCTCTCACTCTGTTATCCTGTCCAAGGTACTTGCACCTCTGTTTGTCCTTCTAGTTCTCAACCTTTTGCTAGTTCCTAACCATGTTCTTGTTCTGTCCTGGTGCATCCTTGTGGTTCCCGACTTTGTCCCAAACTATGACTCTGATTGGTTTTGCTATTGCACTTTACTTTAGGACTCTGTATTGCCTGAAGTTCTGTTGCCCTGGTCCTGGTGCCTCTGTTACTCTTGTCTCTGGCCACCATATCCTGTCCCTGGACCCTGACAGTTTAGGATTGCAATGCTTATATAAACAACCTACATTAACATATGACCCCTTCAGTTAAAATGTTTGCCCAATATCTAATAAGAAGCCACCAATGTTGTAACTCCATTTTATTGATCGGGTAATATTCAGGTGCTTGTAAATTTATGGTGAAAGAAACACACGAACACCTTGGTGGTACAGCTAGAAGTTGGGGGTAAATTCCAGGGCCACACAGCCCAGGGAGAGTGGCAGGTAATGAGGACAATGGCATAAGATTGGCACTGGTACATGGGCCAAGGATGGTAAGATGGCTGAGTTCCCTGCTTTGGGGCTTGAGGCGGGTGAGAGATTTCTCTCTCTCTCTCTTGCATAGAAAACTTGCCATCTCATGGGGCAGAATGTCAGGAGGTGCTTGTCGAGCCCATCAGTCTCACTGCACACAGGTTGTGTTGGGGCACCAGGAGTTCAGGATTTTGCAAAATCACCCCATGAGCACCACTGGAAACGATGGTGCAGGGTTCGGCTGCCTGGGCTAGGGCACAGCCCAGTGTGCCAGAAAAAATGTTGGTATACCAATTTGGACATCTGCATGCAGGATCTTGCACTGGTGCACCAGGAGCCACAAAATGTGGGATTTGTTTAAAGATCAATGCGCGTGAGTACAAGACATGTCTTGCTGTGTGTCAGCTAGTTTGTGTCCCCCCCCCCCTTTGGACATGAAGCTGTTTGGAATGCAGAGTAGACTGAAAGACAAGAATATTTGCTGGATGTTGTGCATGTGCCATGTGGGAGTGAGATTGTGTCTTGTTCTTGCTGGTATTGTGTGCTGAAGCTTCAGCAGGGGACCCCCAACCCCTATGGAAGGTCTGGTGGGCAGGGGTCTCCCTTTGAGTGCATGCACCACAAGACTGTGTGGTACGGCGATCATGTGGAGAGTATGAGGTCCTGAATTTGGCTGGAATGCTCCCCGATTGCTGGGCTGCTTGGCATGTGGGAAAGTTTGAGATTCTTGACCTGTGTAAAGAGTGATTTGGTGCATAAGGGAGAAGGAAGAAAGGAAATGAGTAAAGGAAGAAAGAGGGTGGGTAGGCCCAGGAGACACGTTTGGGAATGTGACCACGTTGACACAGGGGTCTGCCTTGTTTTCTAGAGCAGCCAGTGATGCTGAAGAAACAGCTGCAGTTCCTCCTTGAGTTTGGCCAGGTCAGCCTGAATCAGGAAATGTCAGTTGGAAACTATAAAGTTCTCAGCTCTATGGCCACACCATAGAATTGAGAACTAAGAAGATGCTTTAGCAGGAAGGTATCACCTCTTTGTGAGTGCTGCAGAAGTAGCATGCACACAGAGCCCCTGAGCAGGTGCCAAGTACAAAGTGCCTCTGGGAGTTAGATCAGTTCTGCTTTCAGCCACAGGGTGGAGGCAGGCTTAGGCTAACACTCGAGAGAAATTTTGGTGTACTAAAAACACAGAAGGCTTGTGCAAAAGAGACAAGGCAGTTGCTAAACACAGAGGAAGAATCTATGAGTGTTCAAAGGTTATATTGCCTCATGGTGAACATCTGCGTGGAGAGAGGACTGGTCTAAACAAAGTGCCCTTTAAGCACTAGGGAGTTTGTTTTTTTGAAGGGAAGCCTTCTAAAAGCAATGTTGTGAGCATGCATCATGTTTGCGTTGACCACCAGAAAAGAAGGAAATGCAAGACCCAAGCTTTCTTCTCTGTCCAGAGACTGGATTACTTTCTTATCTGAGACAGGTTAAAAACTCATGTTCTGAATCCTGAGTCTACCAACTTGTCATTGCAATGCCACAACTGAATGACTGGATGGGAACAGATGAAATTCTTGGGTGGGTGCATGTATGTAGTAGAGTCCTTACCCCAAATCCCTATTTTGGAGGCTACTATTTTACCTTTTGTAAACAAGTCAGTTTCCATTAGCAGTATTGCCAAATATTGCTGATACATCCTAATCAGGTCCTAGAATCAGTGAGTTCTGGAAACTTAGGGTGTGCTTTACACCAGCATCAGAAATTAGCTGCGTTAGGACGGCCTGCTCTTGCCAAGGACTTCTTCTCGTACCAGCCCACACATGTCATGGGATAGAATTTCCCTTATAGTAAGTAGCCTAATGTTTGCTGTTGTGTGAGTCCACTTGTCAGGCCAAGGATGTTAGCTGCTGGAAAAGATAAAAGGGCAAAGCACCTCCTCCTAGATTTTTTTTCAAGAACATAGGACTTCACCCAAATGCCCAAACATTGGTTGTTTGGTTGATATGTGTGCTAGTTCAGGTTTGTGTGCATTCAAGATGAGTTGGTGCATTTTTGTACCTATGTGTGTGGGTCAATACCATCACTGTAGATAAGAAATTGTGGGAAACTTGATTCTCAATATCTATGAACTCCACCAGAGAGCAAATTTTTCTTTAAACAAGACAAGCAGCAAGTTATGGAGCACCCAAGTTCAGCAAAAGTTTCCTTTGTCATGTTGTGTGCACTTTGTGTTGGCTGGACTGATAGAACAACGCAGACTTTTTGAGACTGTGCTAAAGAGACTTGTGCTGGGACAGAGTTAGAATGGCCAGAGACTTTCCATCTTCTTTTTCAGCTTTGCACAATGTCTTTCTTTTTCATGTGTCTTCAGAATATCCTGATGACAGGTGAAGCAATCTTCTGTCTACTACAAGTTTCTATGAAGTGTTTTAAGCCGTACTCTTCCAGAAAACAGATGAACTTTACCATCCATTACAGCTGACAGACTAAGTGTGTGTACAAAACACATCAGAGGAAAGATTCTTCCCTTTAGCCCTGGGAGAAAGGCCCATACCATGTCCTTATGCTACAGTCAAGAGCCAAGGACTGCACTAGCGGTGATGGAAGAAGCCAGAAGCTGCTGAGATACAGTGAAAAAAACCTCCAAAGCTGCAGAAAATAGGGTCAGAGGGCGGGGTGATGTGTTGGTAACCTCTCCCGGCAGAAAAGACTGGTTTCCACTGGAATTCATGCCTGCATCCAGGCTCCAGGTTGCTTCAACAAGATGAAATAAAGAACTCAAAATGAAGCAAACTATGGCTTGGTGAGAGGCAAGGGCACTCTACAGCCCCAAGGTCAAAGCAAAGAAAACTGAGTAAAGTATAGACAATGACATCTCAGAGAATTGCCCAAAAGGCAAGCCAAGTGACTGACATGTACACCGAACGATTTCCTCACCTCATTCTGCATCTGTCGTACAATTCAGTCCTACCCAACTCTGTTGACCAGAAGGGATAATGGCCTCAGACAGAATATTCATCATCATAAGGGCCTCAGTCCAGATGAAGATGAAATTCTTGGGGGCAGAGTGGTCAAAGAAGGACTTGAGAGGGAAAAAAATCAGGCCTTGGAAAGACTAGGAACATGACTGTGAAAGGAGGGAAACAAGGTACAGGAAAGGTAGCTAACCCTTATGGGAGTAGCTAGAGAGCTGGCTTGAGCCAGGAACTGGCTATTCCTGTAAGTCTGATTCATGGGCACAGCCATGAGCTTGGTGTTCCTTCACCTGGTTATGTTTTTCTTAAAGTACAAGTCAGGAACTGAGTGGTACTACAGTGATGCAACATCAGCTGGCACTGAATTTCCTGCTGGCTGAGAGGACTAAGGAACTTCTTCAGAGGGCTGGTAATTTTGGGGATAATTAATTTGTGTTTAGGAATGTTTTTGCTGCATTTCCAATTGCCTATCCTTTTGTACCTCCCTGGGAACTCTTGGGAAACATGTGCGCCCCACTGAGCACAGGGACTCACAACTTGCCCCAGTTCACCTTAGGTTGGCAACCTCTCCTGGTGATAGGAACAACATTTTGGGGAAGAAGAAGAACGGGACAGGCTGAATTGGATTAATTTGGACTAATTCGGACATGTACTTTATGTCACTCAGTGACAGAGAGGGCATTGTTGGAGTTGCCCTAAAACAGTTAGAAATGTCATACTTTAGAATATAGAAAACTTATCTTTCCCATCAAGAAGCAGCAAACTCCATTTTATTCCTGTGATCACAATGGTGCTGTGAGTTAAGTAAGCTTAAAATACACATGCAAGTTAAAAAAAAAAAATCAGGCCCAGCAAAACTTTTTTTTTTTTTTTTTTGGTTGTTGTTTTTAAGGTATCAGGAAAGGTGAAGCAGTCACATGGGATAGCAGGGATGGAGGAAATAATGGTTGCCTGTGTGCTTTAAAACTGAGCACAGTGCTATGGACATTTAAATCAGTAAATAAATGCATAAATCTTACAACAGCCAGCATCCTCCACCAAGCACAGGGTCTAAACTTTTCTTGCTCTAAAAACATAGGACTGTACGCTAAATATTCTCCAATAACTAGGAATTTTTGTTCAGCTTTGTCATATTATACCTTTTGAGTTTAGGGAGATCCTTTTAGATCTTTCAGCTAGTGCAATAACCTCCCTCCAAAAATTATTAATTGTCAAACCATATCTTAAAAGCATCAGCTGTAATGCAACATCAACAATTAGCTTATCAGGTAATCTCTTACTGAAGAGTCATTACAGAATCCAAAATACACAAAACCATGGTGTGTGTGGAATAAGGTGCAACATAAGATTCATAAACAGAACAGTAGATGCCAAAGCAACAATCAACTGGTTAGATAGTTTGTATTTCTCAATTTCCTAAATGTTCTGGCTTGGTGAGAACCCCAGATATTAGTCATTCATATCTAGACTAGCTGTCTAGGCTGAACTTACGCAGTCCTCTAGCTGAAGGACAACAAAAGAGCAAAATTGCACTGGTTGAATTTGTTTGCCATAAAACAGTTATAAATACAGAGCAAGTATTAGTAGGAAAAGTCCAGAGCCATACCTTTTTATGACACTTAGTTTCCAGGGAGGCATAAAGTGCTTTGCAAATGCTAATTAAATTGTTTGCTAATGATTGACTTGATCTGTTGGTATGGTTTATCTAAGACAACCATTTGAGAAAAACTGCCTTAGTGTACTTTAATAACTATGGACCTTTCCTGAACGGGCAATTTACCTGCAAGGGCAGGGGGTGGGGAATAGGGGGATGTCCTGTGGTGAGTGCTAGGAAGCCAGATTCATGCAGAAAGAGAGAACTCTTGGCGAGATGAGAGCACAGAACAAGAGTAGGCCTCCCGATACCCTGCAGACATTTTAAACAAGTCCCATAATTTCTGAGCACTGCCATGGTTTACGGGAGTTGTAATCACAAGCATAGTTAGGGCGCCAGATTGTCTACCTTGGTATAGTCATAAGCAAAAATCGCCTGCACGATTTATCTCTGGAGACCTGACACTGGTTAGTTTATTTTCTAGCAGTGATGTCATTTCTCCTTTTCTTTTTAGAATAAGAGTAGGACCCCAATTGGGATCGGTACCCTAGCGTTGGTGGGCGGAGAGGGGAATTTTTTTAAGGATCTGGCTCGAGATCAAGTGGGGCTTTGCTTTAATCCCACTACGAGGGAGGGGGATTTTAGGAAAGGAAGAGGAACGGAAGAGGTCTGGGTCTTCCCCGGAGCGTGCGGCTCCCCCGCGAGCCGGTGCCAGGCGCGACCACGCTGCAGTCTGCCGACAAGCCTCCGCGACGACGCTGCTGCACGGGCAGCCTCTGACGTAGATTGGCTCTAGGACAAGTTCGGGGAACAGCCCGCTCTCGCGCTATTCACCAACCTGCGCCTTCTCCCCTTCCCAATTGGCAGCGGGCAGCGGCTGCCATGGTTACTTGAATCGGGCCAGCTCAGCCGATGGTTTGAGGCCGCTGCACCAATCCAGCGATGTAGTCCTCCGTGATGATGAAAGAATCTGGTAGGTGATTGGGCGGCGATTGCCGTATGCAATTAAGCGGGGTGTGCCAAAGATGGAGAAGAAGGCGGGGGGAACGAGCTGCGCGGTTTATATCAGCGGGGTGGGGGTTTGTCCCCTTGTTTTCGTCTCTGGTTAAGATCTAACAAAGGAGTTCCTCTTTCGCGTGCAGCTGAAAGAGAAGAGCAGGTAATACGGAGTCACATGGGAATTTTAAGTGGCATACGATGGGCATCTCTGGGGGAATGAATCGAGAAATCAGCCATAAGCAAAAATCTAAAATTTATTTATTTTTATTTATTTATTTACAATATTTTTACCCCGTCCTTAACAAACGTCCCAGGACGGCTTAAAATCCATATTATTTAAGCAGTTGGGAAAATATTTACTCGTATTCTCTTAAGAGAATGAGAACTATTTGGTCATTCTCCCGCGGCGGCATGGTGCACTTGTGGGTGTTACAGGTAGGCAACAACAGGTTGCTTACAGAATGCACCGGAGAAAGCAAGCTTTCTCGGTTTCATTTGTTTTTCTTTCATTCTTTTTGTCTTCTCGTGCAAAGGGTGTTTTACATACAGTGACCATTTTGGATTTCTGTTAGGGTTAACCGTTTGATTACATGGCAGATTCGTTCAGCTTTATCTTCTTTGCTTTGCATTCCCCCAGCATGGCTTTTTGACAGTTGCATAAACTTGCATGCCTTGTCTTCTAAACACACGCTAGCATTTCATCTGAGTTTGCGAACCTAGCAAACCGAACGGAGCATACTCTGTTAACGTTTATATTGGGTTCAAAGGCTTCGGCTGCTGAAGGTTAGGAAAATATAGCCAACTCTGCGTTGTGCAACTGTTTTCGCGCGGCATGAACATGTTGCTACCATCTTTATATGCAGTATAGTCATCAAATATTACGCGTGGGAAGGAGTGTCAGGGCAGATCTGCATTTAACAGCCTGAACAGAAGACGCTTTATGTGGCTTTGCGGCAGGACCAAACATCTACGTTACGTGTGCAAAAGCTGTTTTCACTCTTGCAGCCCGAACCTATTTACCCTTGCTGCTTGGACAAGGCTCCCTGAGATCTGTAAACTGGAGGGTTGGTGTGGTGTAGCACAGAAAGTATTAGACTAAGTGGGACCTGGAAGAGCAAACTTCAAATGCTCACCAGCTATGAGATTTACTGAAGATCCTGAGCAAATTTCACTTTCAGCCTAACGACTTTTCAGGGTTGTGAGAATAGTGGTGCGGGGATTTTGCAGATACATCCTGAGCTTTTTGGAGAAAATGTAGCATTAAGCACGGAATAAAAGAGGACTCTTCACATGGTGCAACAGTTATTTGGGGACAATGCCTTTACAAATAATCTAGTTAAATAAACATCTTTCTGACCTGGAAGACTTTCCTTGAAATGGGTCTTGCTTGGTCTGATTTGTCTCTGCCTCTCCCAGATGTAACTGTTCTTAAATATGGGCCTGATTTTTTTGAACTGAGGATTGGAAAACCAGTAACATTGCCTGCATTTCAGTTTGAGTATTTGGACCCAAAAGAGAAAGATAACCTGAATGTGTTCTCTGGAGAACACCCAGCTTTTCCCTTACAGACTTCAAGCTACTATTCAGAGAGCTCAAGGTGTGGGAAGATGGTTAGGTGCCAGCCTTTGCGATTAGGGTCGCTTCTAGAGGGTGGGCTCCCATTGCTTATCCTCAAAGGCACTGTTGCAGCTATTCTGTCTTGGATCAGCCAGTTTGTTTTCTTAAGTAGGTAATATTTTGTATGTGAAGAATACATGTACTTGTACACCTGTGGCTTTGTAGGGCATTCCCTATGACTCATAGGTAGGGCATTTTTTCAGAGACAGAACTCTCACAGACAAAAGGAGTTTCTTTCAAACTTGCTTCACAGCATGCATCGGAATCTTCTTTGTTTATACAATGAAGGGAATCTTCTTTGTTTATACAATGAAGTAAGAACGTGTTCAAACAGAAGGGTTGTTTTCTTTGTGCTTGGGTTGGTTCATATTCACCTTTCTTTCCCACAAGTAAAGAAATTAACGTATTTTATATTTGTTTTTGTAATTTTATCTGCCTGATAAAATTACAGCTGTATTGAATTGCTAGTTTTATTTCCACCATGGTTCCTGTTTAACAATGAGTGGTTCACATATTCAGCAGGCACAGTTCTGTTCACTGAGTCTTTAAGACATAAAAAACCTGTGCCTGTCAGGCATGGGGGCTTTTCAAGGCAGCTGGGGGAAGGAAAGCAGTGGGAGAGAAAGGTGGCCATCTCCATTTATACTGGTAAAAAATACTGGAGTTTTACTGAATGTATATCATTAAATGTAATAGACACTATTATAACATAATTACCAGTACAGTCTCAGTTCTCCTAGGTAACTTGGTCAGAATGGTTCCATCTAAATATCACAAGATTCTGTCCACATACTAGCAACATATTTTGGAAAGAAACCACAACTCCCATCAACAGGAGAATGGGAAAAATATGTATGACATAGAATAATACAGGAATATTGGGTTAAATCTATTGAATATCGAATTGAGAATTCCTGTAGCAGAATATTGAGAAAAGTGTTAAAAGGTGTATAAAGAACCAAATTGTGTGATTGGGAATGTATGATATGGAAAGTAAGCTTAACCACCTTTTTAAAAATCTGGGTTTTGGTACTTTTACAGAGGTAGTGGGAAACTTATTGGAGGAAATTTACAAAAAGTCAAAACTCCCGTAATTCCTCACCATTAGCTAAACTGTCTAGAGTTGATGGGAACTGTAGCGTGGGGGAAATCTGGAGGGCCACAAATTAGTCGCTCCTGCATGTGATGGTGATACGGTGCTGATATCAGCCTGTTATGGCTTTGCTTGCTAGAAGAATGATAGTTGGATGAATGGCGATCTGAAGTCACTGAATACAGAAGCTCCAGCAAGAAGTGGAAGGTACCTACCTTTTCCAAGCAGAAGCTTGCAATTGTGGTTGTGTGCTGCAATCTCAGATCTAGAGTATTGGTTGTTGCCATTGGGAACACACAACTTTGCATAGGGAGCAATATGAACACGGAAATGGCAAAGTAATCCATCTGCTGGGAGGTCAGGCGAGGACATGCCAGAAACAGTCAACTGCTGGGACTTTGGTGATACAGTACATTGCAGGGGCACACAGGCTGGGAACTCAGGCTCCAGAACCTCAGAGTAGATTTGTCAATAGCTTTATAGCATTTACATCCAATCCAGGTGAGGCAGTGACTGCTTTAAATAGGTGTCTAGATGGTGATGGGCTGGATGAGAGCCAATAAATTGAGGCTCAATCCAAATATGATGGAAGTGTTGCTGGTGTGTGGGCCAGCTGTTTAGGTAAGTGATATTTGCCCTGTCTTGGACGGGGTTGCACTCCCCTATGGGTACCTTGGGAGTACTTCTTGACTCTGAGCTATCCCTGGAGTTCCAAGTGGCATCTGTGGCAAGGAGTGCTGTCCTTCAGCTGTGGCTGGTTCATCTGCTGCATTCTTACTGGGACAGAGGCCCTAGCAACAGTAACTCATGCACTGGTAACCTCCTGCTTGGACTATTGTAACGCACTCTATGTGGGGTCGCCCTTGAAGATGATCTGGACATTGCAAATAGAGCTGCCAGACTGCTGACAGGTACCAGTAGATGAGAACATATTACACTAGTCCTATATAAACTACACTGGCTACCAGTTGAAGCCCAGACCTGATTTAAGATATTAACAATAAGATAAAGCCCTAAATGGTTTAGGGCCTGGTTATCTAAGGGAACATCTCCTTCCATACAAGCCTCCCTGGACCCTAAGATCATCTGCGGAGGTGCTCATCCAAGAGTCCTCCTTGAAAGAGGTGAGGAGGGCTATTTTGAGGTGGAGGGCCTTTTCTGTGATAGCACGCCAGCTATGGAAGTTGCTTCCTAGAGAGTTATGCCTGGCACCAACGCTTTATTTACTCTGGTGCCATGCCAAACCCTTTTTATTCTCTCTTTTAATTAGTTATTTAATGCATAGTGTATTTTAATTAGTTGCAGCAAGTACTGGCACTTAAGAATTTTGAACTATTGTTGTAATAATGAGTTGAGAGAGAAAGAGACTTTTTGTGTAGATTGTCTTGAGATTCTGTAATATAGTATATAAAATATTTAAATAAATAGCTCAATCCTTTGTATGCTTACTTGGAAGATTCATGGAGTTTCTTCTAGATAACTGTGCCCTGGATTCTAGCCTTAACCTCTCCAAACTCCTGACCATTCAAGTGGACTTGATCTTAAATTTATTTCTTATTCTTGCTGTGGAACTGTAAATAACCAGAACAATTGCAGGAACAGATGCAAAGGCAAGGTTTTGAGTGTTAGCTGCAGTGTACATGTGAAAGAAGCTCTCCCCTGTGCTGTACAGTTTGTACATGTCTTTCTTTCATTATGCCCGATATGTACTTCAAGCTTACAAATAGTTTCTGTGTCGAACAACATCATATATTTGAGAACATGGAAACCTATCACTAATGGCCAACTTTTACAATATCTGTATCAACAGAGTTGTCATTAATTGAAGGGGTTACTTAATTAGAAGTGTAGAATAGAGAAGGACTGGGCAGATTAGATGGTACATATGGTTCATCTGGTAGATCTGGCACATTCAGCCCCCCCCCCCCCGCTAATAAAAGCTTGCTAAATAAATAATTATTTTAAAAAAAAACTTGCCGACTGTTTCCAGCTTGGTGGTTGTTCTAGCCACAAAGAAGAAACATTTCTTTCTGTAACCAGCCTGAGAACACAATGGGTGAGATCAGATAGCACTTTTAAACCCACTGGGAAATTTAACCATGCAGTGAATTTTACATTCCCAGTGGGTATGCATGTGCCCAATTAGGCACAGTGAGTTAGGGTGCCTTTTCCACACACATCTCTCTACCTGTTCTACCTGTGCAGGGGTACTAAAGAGAGTGGGCACTTTTGGCAGCTGTCATCGGCTTCCTTTCCCTGTGTTCTTGCTTGTGTGAGGACAGCAGGATTGCTCGTGAGGAATCCCACTCTTCTGGCAGTTGCAGCATGGCTCTGAGGCAGGATGGAGGCTCTTTGGGATTCCAGCCCCAGTGCCAGGTGCTCTGTCCCTTCCAGAGGGAAGGAGGAGGCCAGCCAAATGATCGGGCACTTCGCACGGCTCTGGGCAAATG